TTCGATTGTTAGTTTAAGGTATGAGAAATCATACAACGAAAAGGGGGAGGGATTTCGACCCGTGACGTGCAATGGCGGCCATCAGTCTGGCTTCAAGATGGCGGCGGAGTTATCGTTCCAGTTGTATTGAGTTCACTGAGCTCAGTGAATCCGCCATGTTGGTGGCTTCAAAAAGATGGCGGCGAAGTTACTGAAAAATGACGAGCCGGTCCTCCAGGAATTATTATATAGCTCAGTGTGCTGACGCCACATGGTTCCTTTTGCTCATGGTAGTTACCACTGACATACCGCGATACAAGGTGAAAAACTGTGTCCATCTCCCTCCTGGTTTTTATCAAAATATTTTCGGCTTTCGGTATATATTTTTTGTATTTCATATAAATCCTCTTTTTTCCTGTTCAACAAATGGAAAGGAGACGTAGCTTTGTGCTTTATATGTCTGACGTTTTGAATGGCCTAATTCACTTATCGGGGGAATGATTTTTGTCATTCGGCTGTTATTTTATGGCATCCAGGTAAGCCGTTTTTATAACAATTTCAGTTTTTTCCTTTGGACTCGAATATAAACTGATTACCAAAGGTTCTGAGCCATATAAATCCATCAAAACTTATGGTACAAACAGCAAATATACTATTTTAGACCTTTGGTACATGTGCAATGTTATATACTCAAACTTTGTCTTGTGTGGGGAAGGAATTAAATTCCTGGCAATGTCAATCTTTGAGTTTGGTCTATTTTGTTTTCATGATAGCAAACAATAATGTAAATAGGTAAACCTTCCCCCCAGTGAGTCTATTAGATTTAAGCAATAATTACATGATCTGACTGACAAAAGTGTGGAGTGGGTGCTGATACAAAGTAATAAGATTTTTGCTGCAAACAGTGTAAATTTCAACCTCTGATGATGGTGACTGTTAAAACCTAGTTAATATATTATCTTGTTTGCCTTGTCAAATTCAAATCAATTATCATGGCTTATAATTAATTGATTTTTTAACTTCTTGCACCTTGTGAATAAATCTTGATCAGATCTCCATTTATATTTTTCAGGATGAAGATGCTATGAAATAAAGCAAGCTACAGATGGCTTATTAATTAATGAAATAAAGCAAGCTAGAGATGGCTTATTAATTAATTGTCATGCAATTTGTTGGAACATTGAACTGAAATGTATTAAGCATATTATACACATTCTTATGAATCTGCATTGTTATCCTTAATTACCATGTTATCTGATTTTGTTTTTGGCTGTTATTTTTATAACCATTGTTATATTTATAAAAGAAATAAATATAAACATGCATTGTGTGAGCAGTGTATCTTCAATCTGCAGCCACTTTTATAATTTTCTGTTTATGGTATCAAACTTCAAGAGGGCTAAATTCAATGGGCTAATCAGGAGTAATTAAGTCTATGGAGGGATGAATATTATTCATTAATAAGACCAGGGGTCCAGGGGTGCAATTAGATAATATTGAAAATTTTATAGCCCATTGAGGTACAATTAAGCTGATGACCTTACTGAAAAGTGTATTATGCAATGTTTCTTTGGATTATACCTAGATATATTGTTCTGAAGACATTCAAGACCATTCAAAAAAACATTATTAATTGCATACTTTCAGTATTTCTGCTGTTCATGCAGGGTTCAAAAAAGTCTAATTGATGTCCATAAATATCCAATTGTCCCCAAAATGTCCGACAATAGTGCCAAAAAGTTCAAGCATTTGTTATAGGAATGTAGAAATAATGAAAATATAAAAAAAAACACCTGTCAGTTCGTGTCAGAATTAAAATCTTCAATTTTGTCCACAATTTTTTGACGTTTTAATATATATTTGTTCTTGCGTTGGCAATAACAGCGTCTACGACTTGTATTCATCTTAAAAAAACGCTTTATATTTCAAAAAAATGCAATTAATGATGTTTTCATGACTTTATATTTCAAAAAAACAAAACAAGTTTTCACGGGAAATTTTTTTTATAAAGGCCAGGGGGGAGAACCTGTTGTTTACTAAATCCAGGGGGGAGAACACCCTTGTAGCGGGCTCATAATTGAGCCCGGTCAGTGGTAACTACCATGGCCAAAAGGAACCATGTGGCGTCAGCAGAGCTTCTGCGGTTGCGCAGAAGGGGGAAGTCCGCCATGTTTTTGCGGACAAAAAGATGGCGGCGAAGTTACCGAAAAATGACGAGCCGGTCCTCCAGGAATTATTATATAGCTCAGTGTGAAATATTTATTTATAGGACAAACACGTGTCAGTTGAGGTGGTTTGAAGCGATATGATTGGCTAATCAGTGATTCACGTGACACTCGGCTGCGCTCATTTTTCCCTGACATTTTTCATGACCCGCGAAGATGACGGTAAATACGTAGGCTTAGCAACGAGGTCGCTGATTGGTTCTTATCTGCATTCTTTCATCGCAACTCACCGCATGTATTAGCCCCGCATGTATTAGCCAATAGCCTTCTGTTTTTCAGAAGCTTATTAATTTCCGTTTCTTCGCCACTGTATGCCATGTGACATTTGCAGCGAATTGCAAATTTATACAGTAAAATATCTTGGGGATTTTGCGTCGTTATTCTGTTTACTTCGATTGGATTTTTGCGTTCTTGTCTTGAGAATTCTCTGCGTTGTTCAATTAAATTTTGTCATTCGAGGAAAGGCATAGATCTGAACAAAGGTAAGAAGCGTGTATAGTTTGTTTTGCGATAAAATATACTTCAGGCAATGGTGTTATTAAATTGTTGTTATGAACAGTATCAATTCAGATGGTTTCAATATTTACGTACAGGTTTGACAAAGCTCGGAGTATTTGTGGTCTTAGCCAAGCATGGCATCTGGTTCAACGGTAAAGCGAGTCTTTTATATATAAATTCGTTTGATAAATATGCCATCTTTAAGGATTGGGTGTGAATAACGCTATTGTATATAGTATAAATGTTTTAATGATGAAGTCATTTGTAAAATGCAAATTTTTATGATGTGATCAGATGTATCATTTATGGTATAATGTTGATTATATTATTATTAGTTTATATAATCACAGAATCACTAATAGCAAGACCTAGGCACCTTTGGCCAAGGTTTCGTGTTCAGGCATTCAGCCAATTGGGTTGCAGGCCTTATTTTCGTAACGATTGACCTTTGAATCTATTGGTTAACGAACAAACAACAGCGGATTGCCTGAACACGAAACCTTGGCCAAAGCAAGCATACCTTATGTGCGGGCCCCCTAGGGCGACGCTGAATAGGTATGCGCAGGAGACTAGAGGTTAATGGGTTAACCAAAAATATGACAATATCTCTAGTTAACCCATTAGGCCGCGATTGGTTACGGATTTTATCTTAGTAACTAATTATGCATACAATTATGCATACCATAAATTTAAAGAATGTCCCTTGTATGCCGGTGGCCATAAAATTACAAATTACTAGCATGACATTATGGCTGATTAGTGATTAAATGCGTCAAGCAATGGGTACATTTAATCACTAATCGACCTGAATGTTTACAGGAACACATGCCACAATTATTACAGTACTTACAGGAACATGCCACAATTCACTGCAGGAGACTTAGAGGAACTTGTCAGAACTTGTACTGTACAATTAGAGTTGGGAATGATTAAAATATATTTATATTTTCATAAACTTTTAGGATGAATCAGTTGTCTTACCTAAATGGACAAATCGTGGCACTGCCAGTTGTCCCAAATGTGGCCATAAGTACATGACAGCACGGAAACCAAAATTATGTGAGGGATGCCACTTTGAAATAGGAGGTTCATATGTGCCTAAGCCAAAACTGAACATTCCAGACTGTGTCATTGTTTACAAAGAAGGTGATACTTCTCTGTATTCAGTAAACAGCAGCACGAGGGATGATCGGTGCTTGGTTTTGATGCAAGGAACAAATTGCCTTTGTTACCATGAGACATGTAAACAACAACGAGCAATCCACCTAAGTTCTTCAGGAAGGCCGTTCAGCTGTAAACATAGTGAAAAGATTGACAGTAAACCACAAGAACCTTTCGAAAAGTATTTTTTAAGTGATGAATCCATCAGAACCTATCCAGCTGACAATGGCACTCAAGAAACTATATTCTCCCTAATGAAAAAATTGTCAGCATCACAAGCTGTTGCCATGAAAGTGTCTGACAAAAATTTTGTTGTCTATGGAAAAGCATCAACATCAACTCCAATATGCTATACACATGTTCAATTCAACAAGGTACAGTAGGATTTGATTTCACATCTGATCTTTATATCAGATAAAGATCGGCTGCTTATGTTTTATCTAGTACGTAGTATATATACACATTTGGAGTTGCAGATACCTGTAGCTGTTACGGTTATTGGTTGGTCATACTGTACATTTTCGAGTAATGCTGCTGACCACCCTAGTCTAATAACCTACATAAACTCACCTACTGTACTTAATGCAAAGGGTACCATTTATAAATCAAATTAAATATACATGTGAATTTGTGGCTACTGTAATCTGCTATTGTCCACCTGTAATTTTTTGTCAGGGCAACTACATCTGCTCCTCCAAAGACTGCAAAAGTCATGGTGGCAACACAAAACAGTTGAAATCGAAGAGGATCTGCCTACATGTACATGTTTTGTTGTGTGTGTTGAGGGAACATGTTAGACCAACAGCAGTCCCAACTCCAACCTCCCCAGAAGAAATTGCTGAACCTCGAACCAGCTCAGTTTGTCGGCAAAGAACTGTGGATTTGATGGCTCGTTGTTCTCTACCATACCCAGTGCCGAACAAATTTATCATCAAGTGCAGAAACATTGATGCCTGGAGTACTGCAGGGATAGAAGATAAATCATGGCCATCTTCATTTATACCTCCACAAGAATCATGTGAAATGTGTGGGACTCAACTGAGCTTACCTAAAATGAAGCCAGGCTCAGATGGTAAAGCTTTTCTCATGACACATCAACATATGTTTCATGTGGTGGAGGTGTGTGTGGTGAATTCTGCAAGAATCCAGAATGCCAAGCAATGCATAGAGTGTGGCCTTTGAGTGATGGTGAGTATCAGTAAATTCACACCTATTTTAGTAAGACCCAGGATTGGCTCCCTGTGCCCTAATGCCAGCATAAATCATGCCAAACTCTCTTTTAAAACCAAACAGTTCAATTTTTTGAAATAATTTTTTTTACAAAGCATTTCTTTAGTAAAACCACACCCAAAACGCCTCAAGAATATATAATTTTTCGACCATGATAATATAATGTAGTAATATTAGGCCATCGTTATGATGAAATGTTGGTAGAAATTCTCTTGAAGTTCTTTTATAAAATTAAACAGCCACCACATTTGTTTTGGATATACAGTTGAATTCGTGAACTCCTCTAAATGTGTGACAAATAAGACCTTTTTGTCGATGATTTTAGTGAAAAATTCAACTGGAACCTGTTGTAGTTCACAAGAAATGTCTCAGATATTCCGTTCATGTCTTTTTTTATTGTCATTTTGTGGCATTCCGAGCGGGACCCTACTATCAGTATCCCCTGACCAGATAAAGCAGCCCAAATTGCCTTATTTAAAAGATCTTTCAAAATGCATGATATATGAAGTCCCTTTACAGCTTTTCCATATCTTGCTTAGTTTTCGAAATATTTCAACGTAAAATAGCAATAGCGTGCAGTCCGCCATCTTGACGCAATTAACCAAATTAAAATGACATCACAACTGGGATAAATCTGTTAAAACTTCTCAAAATGTGACTGAATTTAATTGAAAGGTTTCATAAAATGTTCCAAGTTTATTGCATGATGTATTTCATACATTCCAGGTCTTTTTAATATTAATGACAAGGTCTTGCTTGCATTGGAGATTTTGGTGGAATGGAGAGAGCTGTTCAAGAGAGGAGTGCCAGTCAAAGTATTTGTTGAAAGTACAATCAGATCATGGTGCGCGACGACATGTTCTAATGTAAGAAAACCACAAACACTACATGTGTTTTAAAACATGAGTGTATGTGTTTTGTGTGTGTATGCATATGTGTCTTATAATACTGTATGTCACTTTACGTATGCTCACTACAAATAACAGACTGAAGCCTCTTTACACCAAATACATTTTAGAATCAGACATTATTTCTCTTTGAGGATGTCATTCCGTCAAGCGGTCAACAAAGGTACTTGGTGGAGCTACTGTACAATGGGTTTTACTGTTTCGAGGCTATCACAGAAAGATCATTAGATGACGTTATCTGTGGTGTCTGTGGAGTTGCAGGAGAGGTATATTGCGGCGATGGAAATGAAAAGAACTGCTGTGATCTGAGTTGTGTAAGTGTATAAATTTAAAACTATGTTGGCCCAACTAATTAACCTGTCAGATACCCATAAATTTATTATGTAAAGACTTTTTCTTAGGTTAACTTCAATAATTCCTCCTCAAATAATGAGTGTGAGCCTGTTTCTTTGGAAGACTTCCTGATGAGAATAAAAAAATACTGGGTGGAGAAAACCACATACACAAAAACAGAATTAGATGATGGTAAGGTCGATGCCGCAACAGTACCTCCTATCATTGCTCCATCCGCTAGAGCAGAGAAAGTGTATAACACGGAGATGCAGAAGAGGAGTGTGTATTTGAAGCCAAGAAAAGAAATAAACGGTGAGTACACGGTTTTATCTCAGAACATTTGTGATGGAAAGCCAACACACTCAATTAGTTATGTATTTTAGGTGACCCTGGAGTTTTACATGCACTGATGAAGTCGAAGAATCTTGACATGAACGATATCGATTCATGGAATGCTGATTCTCTCCGTGCCGTATGTCAGGCTTCTGGCATAAATGTTGCTGGCATGTCAAACGTAAGCAGAAAAATTTAAAATTTGGTAAAATGACTTTTATTAGCAGAACTTTGGTTAAAAATTCGCTGAGTAATGTCTAATGACAGATCTCGTTGATGTGTGCCTGGGGTATCTTGAAACCTAAAGAACTACTGTAGCATACCTAGGCCTATAACCGTTATAGGCGTAGGCCTATAACGGTTTTTAAGAAACAGAAGGGTTTTATTCGTTTTATGCACCGACCTGATAATTAAATCCGGTGTAGTTATATAATTTATATAAGTCTAGTTATATAATTTATTTATCTTTTAATCAAGGGTCTAATGGTTGCTGAGCTTCGATCGTTGTATGCAACATTGTTGGTTGGCATCTCTCCATGTCACGAATTCACAAAAGTTATCGGACATACTGGGGGATTCTATCATTTTGTTTGCCGCCATGGGGTATGAACGTTTTCTTTTCAGCTAAGTTCACACGATTACTAATGACATGTATTGATAATATTTCATTAATATTTGTTTGCCAGGCACACGTACTGCACATATATTGTATAAACTTGACGATTTTATTACATTTAAGACAACTGTTGGATCAAAGTTCTTGATGCTTCAAGAGTCTGTTCGGGATGCAGCAGACATATATCTTTCCCTGAAATACCCACCGTCGCTTTTCGTGAATGATACACCATGCACGTTTTCAAGGCATCTTGATATTCGAGCGCCGAATGTCACAAAATATCTTTGGGGAGATAACGTTGGATGTTTCGAACCACCAAGCTTAGACAAATGTCCATCCCAGGTATTGTCTTTTTTATTGGAACATTTCACCCCATTACATGTTTCTGAAAAATGACGGAGGCATTTTTCGAGGGATATGGGTAGTGATTCACTCTTGTCACTCACAGTGTTTAAATATCTAGGTTTTAACCATAATTGCGTCGAGAAATGTACAGTATGCATGACAAAATGCGGGAAAAGAAACCACCTGTTTTCAGAATATTGTGTGATGCAGATAGTCATAGAATAGTTTTAGTTTGTCTGCAATGTTTCGTGAAATCGCAGACATCATATCGAGAATTTTCCGTTATTTCACAAAAGAAATATCGGATGACCCTTGAATTTATCCTGTATTTTAACTGAAAATTACTTTGTTTTTAAGGTTAGCGTACCTCACCTTGTACCGCTGGAATTTCAATCTAGTAGAATGGGATATAAGGACGAGAAAGAGCTTCAAGAGTGGGAACACCCTGTGACTGGTCATACACATCGCTATGTTGTAGGGGATAGATTTCACTCCTCAACAAATCCCCACAAATCGCCTCTATGCAGATTTCATGACTTGAATTTATGTGAACAGAAGAATGCCATTAAAACGAGTTATCAGGAGAGCGAAAACAATAGAAAAAATTTTTTACGCCTTAGAAGCTCCACGATGCAAAAATTTTTGGTTCATTTTCATTACAATTACCTAATGGACTACTACCACAACGAGAAGATTGTGGAAGATCTAACCACCAAGATGCTCGGTCGTGTAAGAGAAGATGAAAAATTAGTCAGAGGCCCATACCATAAACTTGTTGTTGAAGAAAAATAAGGTGCGCCGCATATTATGTAATGTATAGCGTTTTAACGTTTCTGCCAAAGGTTATATGTCAGAGAGGAGCACACAATATGAACAAGTGGCAGTTTCATACATCTTAAAACTGCCAATTCTCTATTTCCGCTGTTTGGATCTCTTTCCCTTTATTTGTTCAGTACATTTTTCGCTGCAGAACCACTTCTGTCTTTTTGGCGGAATCTTCTCTAAATTCGTACATTTCCTGAAATATAAATAAAGATTATTATAAGTAATAGCATGGCATTACGGAAGGTCGATAAGTGATTAAATGTAACACAAAAGCCGAGAGAGCCTGAAATATAAATAAAGATTATTATAAGCTAATTACTATGGTACCTGTCAACACAGAATAAACATATAGGGAGTTAGAAATATACTTACAAATGATACCACTGACCGCAATTGTCACATTGTACCCAGTTTTCTCCAACGATTTCTTCGTCGTCTCCACAGGGACAGTCCTCTCGCCGCTGGATTTTTTGTTTTCTGCGGATGAGAAAGATGTTATTTGCGTGTTATATTCACAGATTTTTCAATTATACTTAAAACTGCTAACGTATAAAATCCTAGCATGTATTATACCTTCAGTGCTATCGTTCATAACCCCAAATGCTCCTTGCGCGAATAGCAGTTTCCTCTTTGGGTTTACCTCACTATTACTCGGGATGGGTGTTTGATTAATACCTGTTTGATAAAAGGTGGAAATTGTCCTTACAAAAATTGTGCATGTGACGTTTAGGGAATCGAACTTTAACAACTCAGATTTTCTAAATCTGATACAATATTGGGTGCGGATCTCTCTAGACGATCTTTATGACGATCGTCTGAAAAATTTGCAACGATGGCTGTTAGAGTCGTGCCAATAGAAGCGTTCCGAAAAATGTTGAGCAGTTCATTTCCTAACTTTGACCAGTTCATTTCCTGACTTCCTCAACAATTTGGTCGAAGCTGAATGCTCTTAATTGCAGTCAGTACATGTGTGCAAGTTGCGATCACAATATTTATCAGTGTAACGACGTACCTGAACCTGATGCAGTATCTATCGCAGTATCTATCGTACGATCATGTGCTGTTGGCTCTTCACTTAATAACCGGCTTGCTCGTTCTACTGCTTTAACAGCCTATATTGCAAGAAAGTAATGATCTGGATTACCGAATGTTTATGAGGTACATGAATGTGCCAGATACAAATACATTACAACAGGCTACGAAACTGCAGCATGCAAAATCGAAATGAACTCTGAAGCGAAAAATATAGTTAAACCATTCGATGTTAAACTGGAAAACAAAATTTTGAAAATGTGGTTTATAACCGGAATAAATTCTTTCATTTGTCCACTTTAATTCATCCACCATGCACAGTTGCAAACAACACTAAATGTTTATTTAACTCTTGAATGACGGAATAGTTTTGGCCAAATTATACTCTGTCTATAAAGTCAGGCGATTTAGCTCGTCGTGCAGAGAGAGTACCTATCATTGACAAGAAAGGCAAAGAATTAAAACGATAAACTTTGTAAGTTTTCCATACCATGTCAAAAGCCTTTAACCGTTTCGGGGTGAATCTGTTGTACAATTTCTTTGATTCAGGTGACAAAAACTACAAAGTGAAACAAAAGATAGGTACGTACTTAAGAAATTATACTGATCGACTGGACACAGGACATATAGTATAATAGGTGTATATGTCATTTGCGCGGATCAGTCATTAGCATTCGACAACTTTCAGCTATTCAACATTTGTGTTACTCTGTAAGGTCACTTGATAGGTTCGTATTTTAATTTTTGCCTGAATGATTAGATTTTTGCAAAGTCCTTTTCAACGTCACTTTTATGGGGGAAAGCTTTGAGGCGGACTTGTGGCAAGACGGCAAGTCTACTGAATGACAAGAATAATCGTGCAAGTTCAGTGTTAGATTCCGGTATGCAATGTAGATGAAATACTGTTAAACAACTACAGTTTAGTGGACCAACGTTTGAAATAAATACCTAACTTATATTATTTGCAGATACTTACTTGTGAATAGTCTTGCGCATTTGACGGCGATGAAGGTACGTCGTCATTTGTATTGTGATATCCTTGCCTGATCCTATCACAATAATCTGCAAATGAGATCATCCATGAATAACTTTGTATTAAACTTTACACATAGGACTCTATACAATTGTTAATTAAATAAAAGGAAACATAATATTTTTAAAAAAATATGTTACTCCTTCAATACTATATCTACATGATTCTATATAGCATGTACGATAGCGATTTATAGATACGAGTCGAGAGAGAGACGTACCTGACACTTTTTCCACGATCTCTTGTTCTATGGAACGGACCGTGTCTGCCTCATCTTTCTCCAAATTTCTTTCCATGTCATCTCCGTGTTCTTCTTTGTTTGTCAGCGCTTCGATAAAGTCCACGTCTGGCTGCAGCTGACCGTTATTACCAGTAACTAGCATGCAAGTAAATAACAACGTTGTTGAAATGGCGATCTCAATATATATTTTAAATCCCCAATTATGTACCTTTATCTTTTAGCCGAAAAACTACAATTATGCGTCATTTTAATTTAGTATCATTTCTGTAGTAGAGTTTACTGTAAATATCAGGATTAATTAGCCTTTCTCACAACGCCATTTTTGGGGTACTTTTTTGCCAATCCTGCGATTGTAGCACCGTGTAACGGCGACATTTTATAATCTTTTGCGTGTATGATTCTACAAAGTCATAGCCATTGGTATTTACTGAATTTTACTCAGTTTATAACGTCAACAACCATACTGAGTAACTCAAAGGGAAAAACTATCGGCGCTTCTTATATGTTATCAAAATGTCTTAAAATGTTCGTGAAAGAGAAAAATTACGCTTGCGTATGACAATAAGGAATCATGGTATATTGGTATGTTAAAACAATACTTACCAAAATTTACCCACTCGATAAAAAGAGGGTCCAATAACTTCTGTGGGATTTTGAACCCTTGTCCAGTTGTTACAAGCGTTGAATTCCTTTTAGAGCGCACGTCAGCGAGGTTTGCGTTGCTGCCTTTTGCGAAACAAATGCTTCTCTGTTCCCAGCCGTTTACTGTGGAACTCTGTATTTCTTGTTTTACTTCCTACAAGTACAGAGCGTTTGCACATGACGTCACAGCCCCCATTTTAGTGTTTCAATTGGAAAAAAAAATTAATTAGACTCTTTTGTCTGGAATACCAACATGGCTGCCATGGCTTTTATTGGGTTGGGCGCCGGAGAATGAGTGCAAACCTCATTTCAATGGTGCAAACACTCTTACATGAATCTATGCATAGTAAATCCGCCATTCTGAATTTATTACATGTAAAGTGCTGAGCAGAATATCCATTACAAATCCACATTTTGTGGCGCCAACTTTTTGACCGACTTGATATGGGAGCCTACATTCTATGCATGGTTATAATACTGTATTACCTCGTTTAAGCAGCCTTGAATAAATAATTTTAAGAGCAGCAAACGAGTAAATACATTATTAACAAGCGCACTTCTCAATTTAAAAGACTGAGCTTCTTACCGTCCAAGAAACGTTTTGCATTTCTCCTATCATGACCGTCTTGATGCAAATGGCTTTCTCCCACGATCCGTTTTCTGTAATTTGGACCTTTGGGAGTGGATTTATCCATGTCAAACAAGAAACCTGAATAAGGGAACGGAACTTTAATAATTAAGTACAATTATTATAATGCATTAATGGCAACTCCCGAGCGAATAATGCGTCGTATATACGCGTTTCACAACTTACATCTTTCGATTTTGACTGCAGAATAAGTGAATAAATATCCACCATTAATCTTTGTATAGTAGACTTTTCCGCAGAACGACTCATGTTTCCCTGTATGACCATGGTGATGGCATTTGTTAGGTCGGGATGTTTCTGAGCAGATGCATGTATCTGTGTGGAGAAAAAGTTCAATTAATTTATGAATTCTAAACTATTCCCCTTGCACAGGTATTGAAACTGTTTTTAAAATAAACATATGAAGTAATGACCATATAGTCAAAGGATAACTGTCGGTGTTTTAATGCTGCTACCGTCCAATTCGGCCATTGACGAGAAAAATCGTCTGGGGCCAACTCATGAGTGAAAGCCTATAAAGTTTTCGTTTATGTGAAATCGTGTTTAACCAAAATCCAAAATTCTTTTTGATGCATGTGTTAATTGAAGGAGGATGTTCTGTTTCTCTTATCATGGCCCGTGTTGAAACAGCGTTAGACGTGACGTAATGAGCGAAAAGGTCTATTTTAGTTGCTTTTTTTCATCGCATTTCCGACAATTTTTAATAAGAAATGACTGTTATTACTCACCATTGTGTACGTAATGAGGTTATATGCAACACCTTTAATCCATCGCATTTGACATCCTGTATTGAAATGCGCCTTCAGAATGCATTTCACATCTTCAAAATACGATTCTATTATCTCTTCATAGATAGGAAGAAATCGCATGCACCATGCAACCAGAATACCCTTTAAAAAGTTAAGGAACCATTAATAATTCATAAAGAAAGACAAGGGAAATCATTACCATATCGGTGGTTTTATACCTGATAAAGAATCATGTAAACTTTAGCAGTGATTTCCTTAACTTAGACAACGTTTATTTTTAAAATTAGTTCCCAGTCCGTGCTTTATCAGATATAAAACTCTCAGCTGTCGCATCGAGTTTTATATCTGATAAAGCAGCTTTCGAGCAACTGTCTTTGTAATTTTCTGTCTGTCTGTTCGTACGTCTCATTAACTTTGTATCCTTATTTGTCGATACTTGCCTTATTGCCACAGCGAATTTTGTCCAAAGCAGCTTCATTGTGGTCTTTCATTGGGATTGAGTCGGTAGTCGAACCTGACCACTCTCCTAATATCCTGTTATAGTATGGGAATTATAGTAGATTTGTTACAGACTTCAGATGTTACATTTATTTTCGCTAACCCCAATTAGTCACTTCCCAAACGAGCAGAGGACTGGGTCTAGTTGATGTTTGGAAGGAGGTTTGGAAGGACATCAATCTCCGAGCCTGAATCCGACATATAGAAAATTGTATGTCCGTTTGAATTACGCATCCTATTCCAACAATCAATCAGATTTCTTCCTGATTATCCCAGAGCCTTCGTTTCCTTCCCAAGGATCTCAGGCTCGGTAAACGAGATTAGGAGGACATCAAGTTATAGTGAGATTGTGAGAGAGCTAAATATATATTTAAAGTTGCCTTATTATTATTGTTGCATTATTATTGTTTGCATTTTTTTTGTCCGTCAACACTAAGCGACGAGAACCAGTCCTCTGCTTGATTGGGAGACGGCTAATTCATATAAAATATTTCTTAGTGGCATATTGTATCATCATATATTATACCTCGTATAATATGCGTTGTTGTACATTGATTGAATTGTATACATTGGCATTTCATGTATTTATACCTTTGTACTTCTTTTTTATTGCTGGAAAGTAGTAAGCTTCCTTTCGGGTACAAAAGACCAGATTTGGATGAACCCTGCGCCAGACCACCCTGCACCTGGTTCAAAAATTCACCCAGATTCTGGTTGATTATTGAATCGTCAAGTAAGGATACCAAGGACGATTTGCTTAAACTCTCCAATGCCATTTTTCTAATAAATAAGACAAAAACGCAGATTTTTCACAACAACTTAATACTCAGAGTACATGCGCGTATTGGACACTCGGTGACACGATAATTTTCGAAAGAATATCTACATTATGTTAAATTGATAATGGGAAAGTGCAACAGTGAGTAATATAACTGATGTTGACGCCATTCCCTTACTCTCCTTGCTTTTAAATAAATATGATTAACTGATTGTTTGGAAGAAAATGAAACTATAAACTGTAAAAACAAACACCTGACCCGGTCTACAAGAAGGAGTTAAACCCGGACCATTGACAAACGCTATGGTGTTTCATAAAGTTCATATACATGTTATTAGTATACTCACCCAGATGTGCCAGATGTGTTCTGATTCCCACCTGATAATAGTAGTGGGTGACGACTTTGGGCAATTCCCTGAAATTTGGCAATCAGACGTAACGTCAGAGTCTTCCCGCAATTTCTCTCCTCAGAGAATATCAATCCCAAATTACTTTCACCTGTTAAAAATAATTGAAACCAATAAGTTTTGACACCTCTTTGCATTGATTAGGGACCATTAGGGGATTAACGTAGACTGTTTTCAGGTGCCCCTTTATTTACCCGTCGAAGCTTATAATACAGAACGTATAAAAAAAACGTGACTTAATATTTATCAATATATCCGCTTTTTTTTTAAACAAAGCGGATGTGTTTATAAACACCCTGTATATATAAGCATAAGTAATATAACACAAACTTTACCATATTTCTCGTCATCTTTGGACGATCGAAGGATTCTTGTTGCGACAAATGATAGCGACATCTTAAAAGGATGCTCGTTTACATCAAAGTAAGAAGACAAATCTAAAAGCCTGTATAAAATTTAATATGAGAATATTGGCCATCACAGGCTATAAACTAAGTATAATAATACATTTTGAGAAATTATTTATTAATTAACCGTATATATGAAGCTCCCTTGTGGTGTGTGGAAAAATCTACTACGTCATAAAAATGTCTACGTCATCCGACGATCACAAACAACGATTTTTCGTGCACGATTCGGATTCTGGCGTATGTAATTGCGTCAGTTGACTGCATTTTAAACTTCATTTTTAAGAAATGACGATGAACTTCGGCGTCAGCACAAAACATAACTCGGCCAAGGTCTGGGCACTAGTAGGTATGGTACGTAAAGACTAGGGAGCTACCTATGACAGCAATAAAAAAATTTTATGCTGGATTTATATGTCTACTTTAATCGAAAGTTAAAGTTCATGTACAAACAGATACCTTTTTGTCGCTTCGAGCAGTCGATCCATCTTTAAAAGATGCCGATCAATTGTGGTTGCGTAGTGGAACAAAGCATCCCGGCCTGACATGTCTAGGACTTTATATGCACTGTCCCGTAAAATACAATTGTCCTCGATGTGAAGCTAAATAGAAAAGTCAACATAGAAGATGTTCGTTTATGCGATCATCTAAGGTTACAGAACACCTTTGAGTGTTAATTTTGACAAATATATTTCTATTGGTTTCATTAGTGCCGTGCAATCCCGGAAAAAAAACCCGGCTCCGGGTTTGCGTTAGTACGTTTTAACAGTTGTATGATCAGGGCTGCCTAGAACTTTTTGGAAGCCTGGGGCAAAAAAAACCCTCAGGAAGTTTTGGGGGGCCCTTTTGTTCCTTTGGGGGGCCCTTTTGGGGCTCTCTTAAGGATGGGGCCCAGAGCAAAATGCAAACTTCGCCCCATCCCTGGGCGGCCCTGCGTAGGATGACGTTTCAGTGGGCAGGTACGTTTTCGGACGTTTCATTTTCAGGCGGCTTCAATGTTAATAAAAGCAACTATGACTGTGATAGAACGACAGAAAAGTTCGAAACGTGGTACTTCTTAATGGAACATTGAAGCCACGCCTTAGAAACGTCTGAAAACCTGCCTAGAAACGTCATCGTACCACCGTTGAAACTTGAAACTATAAACGCGACAACTATTCGCATTTTGATCGGTCTACCGTCTTACGTCTACCTGCATCCGCAGTACCCTCGATTGGAGCTAAGCGGAAACACGTCATGGAAAACCTGGGGGGGAACATGATCTAATTGGACATGGAACAAAACACGTTTGGCTGTAAACATTTGACGTTTACCTGTAACAGTTACTGTATTTTTCCCGCGAAAATGTAACAAAGTAAGAACATTGCAAATTATTTTGAATTTATCCACTATAAACGCAAAATTCACAAATTTACCGTATGTTAGAACTTCACGACACTAAGGCCTGTTGTATACGTCGAATTTAATTCAGGCGAATTAAATTGCACATTTAGAATGTGTTCTAAATTTGGAATATTGACAGTTGACAGTTGAAACGTAAAAGTTTGTAGTAAAATTATGTGACGTTTGAAGTCCAAACAAGTCAGATCGCGTTCGTACTAAATTTCATCTTGTGTTTGCCGTTTATATCAAGCTGGCCCGCCTAAGCGAGATCCCGCGTTCATTGACCCAAGATCTCGCCTAGGCGGGATGGAAATTTCCCAAAAATAAACGCAATTACCCGGGCTGGCTCGCTTTGGCGAGGTAAGAGTTATTACTAATACTCTATTCACTCGATTATATCGTTGTGAATAAGATTTTTTCGACAGATTTCCATCTTAAACGGTATCTGTTAACGATTCTGTGGGTTACAACCGTGAAATTTGCTTGCGAAGCTGCGAATATTTCACGTTCGTGCGAAAATATGTTTATATAATAATTAATATGCTATCTATAGCCGTGAGACGAGTAGTTTTTTGTGGCGAGCTAACCCGCCTCAAAAGTCTCATGTGATGAAATCAGCCCTGTAAAGCGAGCTAGCTCGGAGATCCGGGCTGGCTCGCCTCCATACAAACACCCCTTTATTAATGACTGTATATATAGTTGCTTTGGCTTCCTTTGTGTTTCTCCCCGACTCAAAATTTCTCAACAACGCATGTTATTCGATGGACGCAATTTGTTCAATGTCTTGTCGATTACAATTATTAAATATCACTTTCTTACTGAGACCGAGCGAAACAGTGTGTTTTGTGGATATACAAGAACGAAAATTATGTATAAAGCCATTAAAGTGCCGAGTTAATTTTAGACCAACATATATTTGGAATAATTTTAGACCAACAACGGGGCAACATATTCTTCCGAGAAAACATTACAATGAATAATGCCCGCCACATTCGTTTATATTATATGCATACAACTTAAAATACCGTCTATAATACAAATAATACTGATAATACACGTCAAATACTTACCCCGGGCTCAAGAAACCAATAATTAGCCGAATTTGGAATGTTTTGATAACCAAAATGTTGAGTACCATAGACCACTCTCGCTGTAGCATCATCGGTTTCGTTAAAAACATTCCTGTAGTCCTCCAGAAGTGATTGCCAGTAGGTCAAGATCATGCTGTTGCTAACATGGGTCTCCAAGTTCAGAGTTCCTCCAGGAAACTTTGACCTGAGTGCATCGAGCAATTGCCTTTTCCCGTCAAAGCAACTGGCAGTCAGCGTAATTTCTCTACAAAAGTAAAAATCATTGGACCTTGTTCATACATTGCACCAAATGGACAAATGATTGAATGATCTAGCAACATGGAATGAAGCATTCATAGTATTCAGTACCTCGTAAATTGGGAAGAGAACACAAAACCAGTTGCGCTTACAAGCCACTGTCCTTCTCCAGATAAAACATGTTCTTTGGTGTGTACATTGTGCACTTCTCCCACTATCTTCAAACAAAAGTCGCTAAATCGTTTTCCTTCGTAAAAAGTAAGTCCTCCTTCATTGACGAATTTGCTTGTGCGTTCCATAGCTGTTCGTGGGCGTGAGATTGCATATGTGTTCAACTTGAATTGCTCAAAAATCGAAATCTGCCTTAAAATGTATTTTTATCATTTAAAAAAAGGGTGCGCAAAAACGAGGTCAGAGTAACTCTATATAGGGGGGGGAGAGGGGGGGGCTACAGCGGCTTATGCGCATCGGTTTTGCTCATAACAAAGGATACTACAACATTTAAAATTTGCTGTGCAAATTTCGCATGTTAGTCGTATATTTCCGAAATTAAACTATAGTATAGCAAACCAAAATGGTTCAATTTTCTGACAGTTCATATGATTATTTTACGAAATATGCATATATTTACGCTAATTATATTTTACACCTCCGTTTCCAGGTGCTTCTTTATTATATCTATTTTGAGTGTGTGATGACATCAGTGTTTGACAATGAATGTTGTTTAACCTTTCTGTTTACGACTTGAGCGCGGTTTTCGAATGCTTTCGTAGCCTTAACGATAGTTTTGTGGTAGTTTTTCGTCTGTTTTCTACCCCCAATTAAAGACTAGTGCGGTGAATGCGATGAGTGCGGTGCATGTGACGCACGAGTGTGAGTTAGACTTGTGCGGTGAATGCGATGAGTGCGGTGTATGCGCTGAGTGTGAGCTAGACAAGTGCGGTGAATGCGATGAGTGCGGTGTATGCGCTGAGTGTGAGCTAGACAAGTGCGGTGAATGCGATGAGTGCGGTGTATGCGATGAGTGTGAGCTAGACAAGCGCGGTGAATGCGATGAGTGCGGTGTATGCGATGAGTGTGAGTTAGACTTGTGCGGTGAATGCGATGAGTGCGGTGTATGCCCTGAGTGTGAGTTAGACTTGTGCGGTGAATGCGATGAGTGCGGTGTATGCCCTGAGTGTGAGTTAGACTTGTGCGGTGAATGCGATGAGTGCGGTGTATGCCCTGAGTGTGAGTTAGACTTGTGCGGTGAATGCGATGAGTGCGGTGTATGCCCTGAGTGTGAGTTAGACTTGTGCGGTGAATGCGATGAGTGCGGTGTATGCGCTGACTGAGTGTGAGCTAGACAAGTGCGGTGAATGCGATGAGTGCGGTGTATGCGATGAGTGTGAGTTAGACTTGTGCGGTGAATGCGATGAGTGCGGTGTATGCCCTGAGTGTGAGTTAGACTTGTGCGGTGAATGCGATGAGTGCGGTGTATGCGCTGACTGAGTGTGAGCTAGACAAGTGCGGTGAATGCGATGAGTGCGGTGTATGCGATGAGTGTGAGTTAGACTTGTGCGGTGAATGCGATGAGTGCGGTGTATGCCCTGAGTGTGAGTTAGACTTGTGCGGTGAATGCGATGAGTGCGGTGTATGCGCTGACTGAGTGTGAGCTAGACAAGTGCGGTGAATGCGATGAGTGCGGTGTATGCGATGAGTGTGAGTTAGACTTGTGCGGTGAATGCGATGAGTGCGGTGTATGCCCTGAGTGTGAGTTAGACTTATGCGGTGAATGCGATGAGTGCGGTGTATGCCCTGAGTGTGAGTTAGACTTGTGCGGTGAATGCGATGAGTGCGGTGTATGCGATGAGTGTGAGTTAGACTTGTGCGGTGAATGCGATGAGTGCGGTGTATGCGATGAGTGTGAGTTAGACTTGTGCGGTGAATGCGATGAGTGCGGTGTATGCGCTGACTGAGTGTGAGTTAGACTTGTGCGGTGAATGCGATGAGTGCGGTGTATGCGATGAGTGTGAGCTAGACTTGTGCGGTGAATGCGATGAGTGCGGTGTATGCCCTGAGTGTGAGTTAGACTTATGCGGTGAATGCGATGAGTGCGGTGTATGCCCTGAGTGTGAGTTAGACTTGTGCGGTGAATGCGATGAGTGCGGTGTATGCGATGAGTGTGAGTTAGACTTGTGCGGTGAATGCGATGAGTGCGGTGTATGCCCTGAGTGTGAGTTAGACTTGTGCGGTGAATGCGATGAGTGCGGTGTATGCGCTGACTGAGTGTGAGTTAGACTTGTGCGGTGAATGCGATGAGTGCGGTGTATGCGATGAGTGTGAGCTAGACTTGTGCGGTGAATGCGATGAGTGCGGTGCATGTGACGCACGAGTGTGAGTTAGGGTTAGGGTTAGGGTTATGGGCCTTAAGTTAGACTGGTGCGGTGAGCGCGGTTAAACCTACGGATACCTCCACATTCTGTCCGGCTGCGTACCTTTATGACATAACGTAAGCATGACAGCGCGCTAATGATCAAACACAAAACACGTCAATAAAATTTCAATATTTATTGTTCATTTTTTGTAATTATTTCCATAATTATTACCATTACCATTACTTATTAACCAATCAGCTGGCCAATGAGCGTACCTCTTGCTATGCCTACGTGCTGACCCGAAGATGAGGAGAAAACTGAGTTATTAAAAACAAACCAAAAAACCTTCAAAAACTATTCAAGATTATTAAAAAGAAAGAAGGGAAAGCTGAAATTACCTGAATGGATATATTTAAAACATTTGAGTGACGTTTTGTTGCCGTAATTCTGTAATATGAGGTTATATTTTACTACGAATTTAAAATAGTTTTTGTTTCGTACATGCGAAGTCGAAAACCTTCAATTTTTAACAGCTGGAAAAAACGGGGAAAACATTTTAACCTCGTTCTGAAGAAAAAAAAACGGTCACAAAATTTATGTATGTTTTAAGAAATTCATATTTTTATAGTTTTGTTTGTACGAAAAACAAAATCACTTGTCTGTGTTGTTGTCGTTTTCACGCTGTAAATTAATTTTCGCTGATAAAATGGCCATTTAGTACTACGAAATTCTCTTCTGTGAAATATAATCCTAAACTTCTGAAATTTTCTCTTAAAATATTTTAATCTAGATTTCAAGACTGGATGCCAAAGAAACGACGTATTGAAGGGAGTAATGACAAAGGTTTACTCGTGATAAAAAGTGTTTGGGAAATGCAAGAAGATCGCGTCATGAAAATGATTTCGTCGTTTGCGTCTGAGGATGATGATGAAACATTTACTTTGGGAGGATTAAATATTGCACCAGCAGAATCTACGGCTTTGTTCAAATTTTTAAGCCACATCAAGAACTTGAAAAGGCTTCAAATCAATCGTTGTACTGTGACGAACATTACTATCCGTGAATTGGTTGAGTTTTTGAAGAAAGATAACCATGACCTGGAGAATGACAACTGTGAACTTACTGAACTAAATGTAACTGGCAATATTGGTTTAACAACTGAAGGTGTTAAATATTTAAGTGATGCTTTGAAGAATGACAACTGTAAACTTACTGAAGTAGATGTAAGTGAGAATGATTTAAAAACTGAAGGTGCTAAATATTTAAGTGATGCTTTGAAGAGTGAAAACTGTAAACTTACTAAACTAAATGTAAGTAACAATAGAGGTTTAACAACTGAAGCTGTTAAATATTTAAGTGATGCTTTGAAGAATGACAACTGTAAACTTACTGAACTAGATGTAAGTGAGAATGATTTAAAAACTGAAGGTGCTAAATATTTAAGTGATGCTTTGAAGAGTGAAAACTGTAAACTTACTAAACTAAATGTAAGTAACAATAGAGGTTTAACAACTGAAGGTGTTAAATATTTAAGTGATGCTTTGAAGAATGACAACTGTAAACTTACTAAACTAAATGTAAGTGTCAATGATTTAAAAACTGAAGCTGCTAAATATTTAAGTGATGCTTTGAAAAATGACAACTGTAAACTTACTGAACTAAATGTAAGTGGCAATCATTTAAAAACTGAAGCTGCTAAATATTTAAGTGATGCTTTGAAGAATGACAACTGTAAACTTACTGAACTAAATTTTAGTGGCAATGATTTAAAAACTGAAGGTGTTAAATATTTAAGTGATGCTTTGAAGAATGACAACTGTAAACTTACTGAACTATATGTAAGTGTCAATGATTTAAGAACTGAAGGTGCTAAATATTTAAGTGATGCTTTGAAGAATGTCAACTGTAAACTTACTAAACTAGATGTAAGGTTCAATGATTTAAACACTGAAGGTGTTAAATATTTAAGTGATGCTTTGAAGAGTGACAACTGTAAACTTACTAAACTAAATGTAAGTTACAATGATTTGAAAACTGAAGCTGCTAAATATTTAAGTGACGCTTTGAAGAATGACAACTGTAAACTTACTAAACTAAATGTAAGTGACAATGATTTAAAAATTGAAGGTGTTAAATATTTAAGTGATGCTTTGAACAATGACAACTGTAAACTTACTGAACTAGATGTAAGTCACAATCATTTAAAAACTGAAGGTGCTAAATATTTAAGTGATGCTTTGAAGAATGACAACTGTAAACTTACTAAACTAGATATAAGAGGCAATGATTTAAAAACTGAAGGTGTTAAATATTTAAGTGATACCAAAAGTGACAACTGCAAACTGATTTACTAAATGTAAAGTCGTATAATGGCTGCAATCCTGTAAAACGCATCAAATGTTTTTGTTTAGCTGTATATTACAGGCAAATCATATTAATATTTTTTTACACAACACACATTGGTTATTTTACTCTCATAGTTTTTTATAACAGCAAATGTTATTTGAAATGTTTTTTGGTGGAATATATTTTGCCTGTTTTGATGAGAAGTTTATGAGAAATTTATGTTGGAATTCTTTACCAATAAATTTAATAAATCAGTTTGCATTGCCATTGTTTAAAAAGTTAATCAGTGTTTGTAGTTTCTGACAAGGTTTTTATTGCTTTGTAAATAGTTTCTTGATTGTATATGATTGTAATTCTAATAACTTGTATTTTGTAGTTTGAATAATTTGTAAGGTAGATTTCTTTAAATAAACTCACTGAACAGTTCTATGTTTAAGATAGGATATGCAAGCATTGTGTAATTAAAATAAACTTTTTTCAGCTAATTTTAATCCTTTGTGTTGTGATCCACCTCGACCAAAGACCTTCCGATATAAACACAGGATAAATTTCGTCTCAGGAAAGAAACTTTAAGCTGCTGAGCCGATATTCAAGTGTGAGATCACTTTGACTGTTTGCGTCAGTTTGACAGCAAAGAAACACATGATATTGTCTGGGAGATTTATTACAGGATTGCCAGGATCTTGTTATATACTTATTTCAATTTTCAATACCTCAAAGCAATCTTACGCTTCGTTAACCAGGATCATGTAAACAGCTCCTAGCCTAGGCTAAAATAAACTTTTTACTACTAATATTAATGCTTTGTCTTAGCGATCCACCTCGTCCGAAGATCTTCCTATTATAAAAAGGGGATGAATTTCGTCTGAGGAAAGCAAGCTAGCTTGGGTACCAGGTCTGGATCATCTTCATACAAACCAACCCATGCATGAGACATGCATTGTCGTTGTTGCAAAGAAATTTGCCACCAGTATCAAAAAATATGTTTTAAACAATTGTCCAGCTCGTCCAAGGTTCAACCTACACCCCGACAATGGACAAAAGACAGTAAAACTCGAGCAAAAAAAAAAGAAATATGCTAAAGCGAATGATCTTTGCTTTGTAAAAAGTGTCAGAAACACGTTTGCTTTCTAGGTGCAAAATATTCTTTTTTGAATTGTTATCAAAAATTATTCGCAGTTAAAACAAAAAAAATACCGAATTTTAAGAACTTGCAGCCGCAACTATTTTTTTTGTATTGAAAGGAACGATATAAGAAAGTGTTTCCAACAATGATTATTGAAAGATATGAACCCAATTACACTGAATCAGAACACTTGGGTGCAATTTTATGATGTGTGTGCTATAGCGTGAAGCTTTTATCTTTGCTGAGCGCTGCACGACTTTACTTTATACGCGAGTGCAGTGTTTATGATTATTGCGTGGCTGTTGCTCAGTTTTGTAAAGGAAAACTGTCTGAAGCACACATCATTGAGTGCTACGCATTGTACCCAAACCTAGCTGCTTACGTTAAGTTTAAGTTCGACCAAGCTAATGTTTGACAACTTCACGGAAACCGCGCAGAATGGAAACATGATGGAAACACCATACCACGTGACTAAGACGGCCATTCACGAGCTTAAACCGCAGAGACTTTTCAAAGTTCGCCATGTTTAAGAACAAAGTTTCGTTTTTCAAATCAGTTGCCCGTCAACAAAGAAACACAGGAAAATACTCCACAAACCTGGCGATCATTTGATTAAAAATTTTTAAAGCTTAGCGCGCTGCATGCGACGATTGATGCGAAAAGAAACTTCTTGTCTTCTTATCGGAGAATCTCATATCAATACTTCTTTTATACATTCACAATTAATGCGCTTGCAAAACTTGATAACTGTGAATATCTTAACAACTTGAAGTCCTTTAATTCAAATTTGTCGTACAGGAATGGCTTGCCTAGAAATATATCCGCGTTTAAATTTTACAGCTTTCAGTTCAGTTCATATTTCGCTTGCAGTTTTGCGCAATCAAGCCATTCATATATTTAAAGCATTCTAACAGAAAAACAGAATTCATTTTCCTGAAGAAAAGAAAACTTTGATAGATCATTTGAAGTGAGTTTTTGCAGCGCTGCGGCATCGCTATTTCTAAACTCACTGCTCTTCCCGTTTAGCTCAGGAAGCTCGTGTACCATTCTTTCATGAACTGTAGATACCAAATATGCAGACAAAAAGAATGAACATTGAATGAAGTCTGCCCGCAAGAGAGAGAGAACTTAACCTATGAAGACTTTAGGCAATGGTAATATTCAAGAAATCTGTATATTAGGTGTTTAAAGGACATGAAAATAATAGCACACGAGCAACCGCCCTGAAAAGGAATGTCCCTGAGTGTGCGGTAGTTGATCACCAGGTTTTGACCGAGGTTGTGTACCCAGAACTTACATGCAGATACCACACACAACATTAGTCCTGGGTACCAGATTAACCATTGCCTGAACTCAGGCTAACAAGAAAAATGTATACCTAGGGTGATCCCTCTTTCATCCGGCTGCATGGCGTCGCTTTATATCCATAAACGATCCTTTGTGACGGTGCTTGATACAACCAGTACCACCAGGGACCCCTTCGAATGAAAATGTTCATTTCGTTTTCCAGAAATACCGTGTTTGATATCATGCAGTACTATTGTGGCAAGTCCTCAAGCGCAACAACCTCTTTCGACCGATGAGGGACATCCGATTACGTCATGGTTGTTCTTTAATCCGTCCTCTTCGCTTCTGTCGTCTTTAGGGTTCGGTGAATTTATTGTTCGAGGTTTAGCAGCACAAATCTGTGAAACAAAAGGCACGTGTGAGCGTAAATTTGAGCAGCACCCCGAAGCGAAATGGCTTTAAAACTGACAGGAATGTTTTCAAAATTGGGACAACTACCGACTAACAATTACCTTGTGACCTTCAGAAGCATTTGTCGGCATTTTGTTGACATTAAATGCTCTCTGATGACGTCTTTCAACGCGAAACGTCACCGTGCATGGTTTTAGTTCTTTTCCAAATCTTGTAGAAATTCAGGTTATTTCACAACTCGTAGCTCCTCGTTCTACAATAGACATCCACTCAGCGCATCTTTGAATGCTCTCTAGGGACGCATTACAATGTAAATCATCGTCAGTGATTCTTCTGAAATCTTATGAAGATTTAAGTTTACTGCTGTCGACACATACCATCGCCTCATGACCACTCTATCGAGATTGTCGAATTTTACATCCTGAAATTGAAGATAAAGTAAACTTTAGTTACACAAATAAATCTTAGGATGTTTTAAAACATTACTACAACAAATTAGGGCAGAAAATACGAAACAAAACGAGAAACTAAGCTATTAAGATAGACCTTGTGCTTACCAAGGTGTGACTTTAAAGTCGGCGTTGAATGAACGCGTTCTCGTCGAATTAACGAAGCTAAAATTGAAGATAAATCAAGAATAAGTTACACAAATCAAACAATGAATATTGTAAAGCATTATAACGATGAAATAAGACAATAATTTCAAGAAACGACCGCATATAAACGGCTGGTATTTTAAGAGAAATAAACACGCTAACTTAACTCATTGTAATATCACATCATTTCAACGTAAACGCAGATAAAATATCATTTAATTCTTATACTCACTTCGTCTTCTTGTCTTTTTCTTCTAAGTCATTTTAGAGAAGCTTTAAGCAGGGTTTTTTCCTTGTAAAATATGTGACGTTCTCGTCCTTTTGTCGTGAACGGACACCAAAAAAGTGGAAGAATCGCAGTAACATGCGACATGCGCCTAGGGCATGACCAAAATTAAGATTCGAATTTGCCTCCCAAATTAGCTCCGCGTCCTTGACCCTCATTTGTCGTATTCTTTCGTCCGACGGACAAACACGGAAAGTAACGGGCGTATAACTGGCCCTTAAATTAGGTGGGGAACTTTATGAAACTCGGCCAAAAAGCCTAGTGTCCCACTCAACCTCTGGGCGGAAAACCTAAGAACAAGCATGAGACGAGGGCTTATACTTTCCTTCGATGGGTGAGACACTGTGTCGACCGAAAGTATTCAAGAACACGAGTGTTAAAAGCAAGCTATCATACATAAAGTTCTGCCTGTTTAACACGCCTTGGGGGGACTCTCTTCAATATTCAAAAATATCAAAAAATGGTCAAGGGTTGTAGTGGTTTTTCAATCGCTCTACAATTGCCCGTGTTTTTGATACAATTTCAATTGATCCTTCCTATTCCTGAGGTATCCATTCTCTATTTATCGTTGGGTCAATATCTGCAATATTATTTTTCACACATTTTTCCATTTCTTGCAAGAACCACTATTTTCAAGATTCAGTTTTCAGAAAACTTCACAACAACCTCACGTTTTCTCCTGAATTTCTTGTCTCCGCAGGTTTACCCAGAATAAATTTTACCCAGTTTATACAGTTCGCACAGAAAAGGTAGGGCCAATTTAAACGCGACAAGGCTCCTTTGGTAAAGGAGACAAACCCCACCCCGTCATGACAAGGTTTCCACAGACAGACTTATAAAATCAGCGAAACAAGTCATATATAAAACATGCCATATAAGAAACCCACATAGAAGAATCGGGGTAAGGAAAAGGTACAGATCTCCAACCAGTCGTGCCCCTGCATTGACCGGCCGAGCATCTGCAACCGGAGTCGCCAATATGAAAATAGTGAAATGAGGTAGAGGAGCTGAGCTAGCTTTACCCCTGTATCAGCATAGCGCCCGATTACCAATGAGTCTCATCGTAGTTATCGTAATAGCAACTAATGTGGGATATAACGAAATAAGTACGAACTAAGAAGTGTGCAGCCAAGGTCAACCCCCGCCAGGCACGGCAACAAATGACTCATGTCAAAATAGGACGCGACATAGGTCGCGAAGATAACTTCGGACTACGAATGAACTTGCGAAATGCGTCGGATTTCCACCTACCCATTGCTCTGATTTGCGCGTCAGAAAAACTGCATTCCGCAGCGAAAGTTTCTGCACCAATTCGAAAACTGTGCCCCTTATACTTAGCAGGGTCAAGACCACATCATGCACGAAAAATCAAAGCCAAATGCTCAGTAAATAGTCTGCGTGTTACTGCGCGCCCATCGAGAGTGCGAAAAAGTGGGCCATCGTATAAACCGCGACTCGCAAAATAGTCTAGTAATGCCTGCACAGGGCAAATATCGGAACGGCGATGAAGTGTAAAAGAAACACGAGGTTGATTGTAGGAATGTTTGAAGTTCGCAAAATTGATTTTCAAACCGGAAATATTACCCAAATTATCAACAATCTGAACCACTTGAGATAATTGAAGCACAGCTGGAGACCGTGGGCGACTCGTTATTTCACCAACCGCAAAAAGACAAAAAAGTCTGTCGTACACATTCCCTTAAATAAAAGTGCGCGATATTCACTAGATGAAACAAGAGAAGTCTGTTGCAAAATGGTGCGGAGGATAGAAATAGTGATTGGAAGGCGTGCCTCAACACCGGAGCCAAGCTTACCATATCCTTTCAACAGTTCGAGAACCCAAAATACCTTCGTGAGGTCATGCACGCCCTCTAAACGGTGACAATAACCTAATGCAGAAACATAGGTATTCGCGGTCGAGGCTGCATAATGGCGCTGAAACATGATCGCAAGCTATAAATAAAGCCAAGTCTGAAGAAAAACCGCAGATGAAAACTGACTGCAGAGTTTCCATGCCCTGCGATAGGCAGGGATTAACGATGGCCGCAAACTAGATTGGATTAACTGCGAGGGAATAGCGGCAAATTGTGTGGAAGGAAGGTTGGCTGAACGCCCACTGGAGCTAGCCGTTTGAACTTCGAAACCTGCAAGCGAGATATTTAAGGAGTACAAGTATTAAAAATAGTATTATAATATAAACGAATAAACATGTAAGTATTAAAGAAGATATAAACTAGGAATAATCGATGTTTGACTCAGTAGTAGTAGTTATTTTATCGTATTTTTAAAGATGCCTAAAGATTTTGTTTCCTTTGCTTGCTTTGGTAGACTATTCCATAGCGCTGTCCCACTGAGTAGCCTCTGGGAGGGTAAACTGGCTGGTAGACCCCGCAGTGGTGTTGGCTGTTGGCGCGGTTGTTGGCTCAGACAATGGCTGTAACAAGTTATTCCCCGTCCCCGATGTACCTGGAGCCGTGTCTGGACGGGAGCGGGATGATCGTCGCGGTCGGCCGGGTCGGGTTGGTTGCGCTCGCCTCTGCACTCGTGTACTCGCTCTGGTAGTGGTAGCAGGCATAATTCCGTATAGCAAGAACTAAGGAATAAACAAAGAGCAGAGCAAGAGCGAAACGAATGTCTGTGGTGATAAGTAAAATACTATATACCAGAGACACGCCACGCACAATACAATTGACAAATATTAAAAAAGACAGGAGGACTTGAAAGGGCAACGAAATAATCATGGCATACAACAACGAGGGTAGCCGCATTTGATTATCCCGTGATGCTGCAAATACTGAAAATTATCGGGCAATCTGAAAACAATTAACATGCCGCACCTTCCCACAATATATTGACTTCAACTGTGAGCATCCGGAAACGTAAAACGCCCTACCCACTTAGACATGCATTTTTTCCTACACAGAACGAACGAGCGATATATGCATAAATTTACATCAGCACGACAAACATCACAAACCACACAACGCATATATAACAAGTAAAATCATGAACTCGTCCTGCGCAGCAAAAAACCCAATGTTGAAATCTCAACGTGGGCATCTGTAAACAGTCATGTTGCTCTAGCCCATACTGGGTAAGTCAAACGTATGATAAACGTCAAATAAAGTAGTATGCGGAGTATGCGTAGTAAGAGATATACAAAAAACATATACACACATATATATAATATAATATATGCATAATATAGACACGATAAATGAACTACAACATTGCCAGAGCTTTCAAAATAGCCCCGCGATAGCTCCTATACAAACAATATTGCCCCTGTCTGTTACAATGAACGCCGTCCGTGGATAACAGAACACGCGCGGGATTGAAAAATTCCCGATGTTCCCGGCACAGAAAAATACCCTGCTCCTCTGCAAGGACCACGGACAAATACTGGCGCAAAAGAGCGGCCTTGGTGTTAAAAACACTATCAGATTCCCGCGTTTTAACGATGTTGCGGTCAATGTCCTGGCACATCCCAATGACGCGAACGTGAAATTCGTCGTGAAGTAGGCGAGCGAGCTCTTCAACCTTCGATCCTACAACCTCAGGGGCGTGAGTGGTTAGATCGTTTCATTTAACCCGATTCGGGAATATGAAAATCAGGGGTTATGTCACCATGCTGGGCACAGGTGGCCGGACAGTTGAAAAGGTGATTCAATACGATCTTTCCTATATCCGATCTGCCAAACCTAACATTATAATTCTCGAGTTGGGCACAAACGAATCGTTTGTGCCCAACTCGAGAATTATAATGTTAGGTTTGGCAGATCGGATATAGGAAAGATCGTATTGAATCACCTTTTCAACTGTCCGGCCACCTGTGCCCAGCATGGTGACATAACCCCTGATTTTCATATTCCCGAATCGGGTTAACCCGATTCGGGAATATTAAAATTTTGGGATGCGCGGAAATCGAAATTAGCCTTTAAATCATCCCGCAAGCGACGGACAAAAGAATGACCCAAAATTAGAATATTGGGAAAGCCAAAAGACATTCTAAATTATTTCTAATAAGAATAAATAAAGAGATAGTTACCTGTTAACCGAAGTGTCAAAAATTTCAAATTCGATCTGTAATGACCTTGTCGAAGCGAGGAGCAGAATGAATTGGCAGCACATTCTGCTCTTTATCTATACTGACCCTCATCTCCGCTCTCCCACGCGTTACCTATATGTCATCACAATTCCAGGGAGATTACTCGCGCGTCAAACTAAATTTGTCTCAACAATAAATTCTTTATTTGCTGGCCAATAATTCCTATTTGGAGTGTCTGTTTTTTTAACCAATAATAATGGTCCTGGAGGGTGTTGCAAGTTGGTGCAAAATTACAGCAGGATGGTGATCAAATGATCAAATCTTAACTTCTGGGAAAGAATCAAGTACTCTTACAGACATGTCAGACATGGAAAATTGCTTAAAACTGATTCCTCGTAATTGTTACAATACCCACAGTTCAGTAGTTCTTGCTTTGTTTGTAGCAACTGGTGTTGTTCTATTTGGAATCGCGAGTGATTACGAGTCGAAATCAAGTCTGGAATGTGACCTCACGAGCTCTTTATTCAAGGGGAAGTACATTGAAACACAATGTCGTCTTCAATATGCCCAAGAATTCCTCCCTTCGTTATCTCTCAATGTCCAGATTGTGATAAGTTTTGGACTTGTCGTTGTGTTGAGCGTTGTCTATGGTTACCTGGTGAAACATAGAGTCGACATCATCGCAAATAATTCAAACACAACGACGAACGAGGGCGTAGAAGAAAGCCAGCCACTACAGTCTGAAGCATCGCCAGCCACACGGGAAGTCTATCGAGGTAGTAATAGTTATTTTGTATTTATGGCTTACATAATCCATTTGATCGTTTGTCGTATAATACCACTGACAATATTCTCAGCATTTCTCTTAACCTCGTCCAATTTTCCGACCCATTTTGAATGTCCTTTGCCCAATATGAAAACAACAACTAGTATTTCCCATGAGAACGTCACACGGTCAACTACGAATTCTTCATTTGTGGACTGCACTTATTCAATGGCTGGGAAGAAACAACAAGTTGTTGTCGGCTTTATCACGATAAATTTCCTCGTCGATGCAGTGACACTCGTTGAGATTGTTTATCTGTTGTGGTCCGCATTGAAGAGACCAACTTTCCATACTGATCAGGAGTTCATTAGCGTGTACCTTCTAGACAATTTAAACTCTCCTAACCAACTAAAAATACACGAGTTGATTCAGAAACATAAAGCCAAACCTCCGTTCTCTTTCCCTGATGCCTTTGGACGGAAACAAAACTTGGACGAAATCTATATTAATGTTATAATTCAAGATGGAAGGGAACATGTCAATTATTCGAGAAGGAAATTTATGAAAGGTAGACATGAGATTTATGACATTCAATTGAAAAAGCCCTCTAATGCTAAAGTACTTGAGAGTACAGCAGAATTATTTCAAGCAGCAGAAGCTGGTAAGAAACAACCTAGAACTGTTCTTGTAGTTGGCAGACCTGGCATTGGGAAAACTGTATTAACCCAAAAAATATCTCAGGAGTGGAACGAAAGCCAACAACCTGATGAATTCTGGCATGAAAAAATTGTACTATTGATCAAATTTCGTAATTTTAACAAGAAAGAAACAAGTCTTCAAGAAATATTAGATCAGGCTCATGGTCTCAATAAGGCAATAGCTCTGTCCAACAATAAGTCTATCCATGAATATATCCTTCAGAACCCAAGTAAAACCATCCTTGTTTTTGATGGCTTAGATGAACTCAAGGTAGATGATGAGTGTTTAACTAATGGAAAAACTGTAAACAGCCTAGAAGAACATGCTCATATATACCTGATTTTCAAACAGCTGGTGATTAATGAATTATTACCTGGAGCCACTGTGTTAACCACATCTCGACCAACAGCGGAACGGATCTATCGAGAGCTTAAATTTGATAGAGAAGTGGAAATGTTAGGTTTTAGTGAGAAACAAATAGAAGAGTATGTTCGGAAATTTTGTGGTAATAACATAAAGAAAAGTTCAGAAATATGGAACATAATCAAGGATTCCCCTGAACTATTAAGCTTCTGTTACATACCAGTTAATTCCTATATAGTGTGCTTGACATTATATAAAAGCATTGATTTTGGTCAACATGTGAAGGATGAAAGCTACAGCAAAATTCCTAAAACAATGACTGAACTGTACAAAAGAGCTATAAGGATTTTGCTGTTCAAACACAATTCAAAATACTTGAATAAACCAGTCCCAAAAGATTATCTGACTGCAAAACTTCCAGAGCAGCTTCAAAACATCTTAGACAAACTGAAAAAAATTGCAAAGCAAGGGATGGAAGACAACCAGCTAGTTTTTCAGTTTGATAGCAGTGATGGATTTATGGCTGACTTGGCAGATTCTGGTGTATTTAATCAGTTAGAAGAAGAAAATCAGTACATCTTTTCTTTCCTTCATCTTACAATTCAAGAGTTTCTGACTGCACTATTTGTGGTTGATGATATTAGAAATGTTGAATCATTCTTGTCTAAACACATTGATGAACCCAGGTGGCATTTGGTGATCCAGTTTGTAGCTGGGTTACTTGGAGATAGGATGAGGGAGTTAAGGTATGTCTCATTTTTCTTCAAATTATTTAAAAAAAGTAATACAGTAGCCAGTTGTATTGTATAATCACAACTCAATTTGATACCCATATGTATCTGAAGGAATCTTTTTATATTATCTATTCATCATTGTATTGCACTGATGAAGCCCCTGGTTGATGGACCAAAAACTCTGCATACAACCAATACACATGGTATTAGTTTTCCCATGCACAGATAGAAATGCATTTGGATATGAGAAGTGCAAATTTTGAGGTTTTCAACCTTTTTGGTGATTTCAATTTTTTTAATGTGATAAATAATAAATGCTGGGATTTTTTAATACACCTTTTACGCAATGAAAAGCACGTGTAGTATCACGTGACATTTATATGTAAACAAAGCGTAATGTTCGGACAATGAAAACGCGCGCAATATTTAAATCGTATAGAAAGCCTGAATATATATTCGCATAATATTCATATATAAAGTAAAAAGTTGTTTCGTTAGTGCTTTGTCCGGATTATGGATGCTACTCGCGAGTCCGATGTCTTTAAAAAGATGACCGTAGTTCAAATTAAAAATTTTCTACTTGCAAGAGGAGTCAGTGTAAATGGCTATGATAAAATTACGCTGATCAAAATAGCTGCTGCGGTTGAAAGAATGTGTATTCCTCTACTTCCAACCTTAACAAACGATCGAAAGAATGGTGCTGCAAGCGATGAACGTTTGATTATTAATGATATGGAAATCGAAAACCCCTTTAAAATGTCTGTGATGAATAACTTCATCGACTCTCCATCTTTCGGTTTGTACGACATATTCAACTATTTGATTTTCCATTCGACTGCGTACGATAAGCAAGGTCTAGCTGCGTACAAATCCTTCGACGACTACAGTCTATTTGAAGATGGCCATGTAGAATCGTTAATGACTAAAACATTGAACAATGAAAGGCTTCATGTCTATGTAGCTAAGGTGCGACCAGCTATGAAGGTGAAAACTGATGATGGAAAACCTTGCTACGATCTTTGGTTTATCTTGGAAGGTCATGGTCCCAACCGAGGTAGCGTTTTGAAGGCGAAGTGTATGTGCAAAGGAGGCCGTGATGGGGGATGTAAACACATCGGGGCCGCCATGTATTCGCTGGAAGAGGTGCTGAACACGCGAAGTAAAGATAGCGTGACAAGTGGCAGTTGTGTGTGGGTCAAGAAAGCTAGCGCTAGTACGAAAGCATGCGAAGTATCTGACCTAGTGATTGAAAAACCAAAATTACCTTCGTACAAACTGAGGAAGAGGGACCACGCATATTCTCAAAACATTGACGTGGACGTAAGAGCTCATAAGGACCAAAAGCCCATAAAGAAAAGAAAGCTGAGAAGACTTACCGGATTGATGAAACTAATGAAACAACGTCCTGCCATTCTGCCAGTACTCCAGAAACGATACTGCGCACCAAAGAAATCTCCAACACTATTGACCATTGAAAATGGTGACAAGAGTACAAGTGGTACCAGTTCAAGTGATGGGATCATGAAACGTAAAATTTCTATTTGCATGGAAAGCAACAAGCATGCCACAGAAGATTTAGTGTTTCAAAAGTTATCATTCACAGACAAGGAGATTGATGATATCAACCAGGCTACGGTAAAACAGTTCCAGTGCAAAGAATGGTATTGTGAAAAAGCTGGTTTCATTTCAGCATCGAAAGTTAAGCGTGTTGTTACCAGACAGGCAACTATTGAAAAGAACAGACCAAAGAAGACAGATGTCAGCTGTCTGGTAAACATGATTACAAATCCCAAAGTACCACCAAACATTGTTCTGCCACAACAACCACACAACTCATTAACATGGGGGTTAGTTCATGAGACAAGTGCAAGGGATGCTTACTTACGAGTTGAAAGGCACAAACACCACAATATAAAGTTAGTGTCTAAAGGCTTTCTCATTTCAAAGAAGAGAAAATTTCTTGGTGCCAGTCTCGACAACATAAAGACATGCCAGTGTTCCAGTAATTGTCCAGATGTTGTTGTCGAATATAAATGTCCATGGAAGCACAAAGATATGCATCCCAAAAAAGCGTTTTTGACACCAGAAATTGGTGGTATTGAAAAAGATAAGACCTTCTGTCTTACCAAAAGCAGTGCATACTATCACCAGATCCAGGCACAAATGTTTGTTTCTGAGCTTTTTCATTGTGACTTTGTTGTTTGGACAAGTCAAGGAATTTTTGTTCTGCCAGTATCATATGATGCTGCATTTATGGACCATGTTTGCAATCAGTTGGAAGCATTTTGGAAAGCAGAAGTTCTCCCTTGTATGATGGCAGACTCAAACTTGAATGGTAATTATGTTTATTTGTCAATATATATCACAGAGTTACAATTTCAGATTGTATTTCAAATTGTGAAATATATGTTTGTTCTGTTGCTTGTCTAGTTGCTAACACAGTAACTGGGGACAATCTAGATACAAACAAAGAAACTGCACCTAGAGTTACAAACAACAATGGGCATTCAGGTGAGTCAGTGCAGTGCACTGTGCTTAATTAAATTACAATTAGTTGTTCAGCTAGATAGTGGTTTACTAACTAAGTGATCACAAATACATTCTATGTTATCTATATTTATTTAGTTTCCCCTATGGTAACCCAATTACCTTGCAATGAACCTTGCAATATGCAAGTTATGGATTGTGATGGGAACAATTCCACTACAACAACATCATTCAAATTTCACGGTATTGAAGTGTATGAGCAAGATATTACAACCCTCGAGCCAGGAATGATGCTTAATGACACAGTTGTAACTGTCTTATTTGAGTAAGTGTATAAAAGCTTGTGATATTCACTTCATGTAAAATTCATACACAGAACTGGTTAAATTAATATCACAAAAAAAACACTTCTTATTGTAGAGAACTTGCTTGTCCATTCCCAGTCATCGATTCTCTTTTTTATTCTGTTCTTTGTGGGGAACAAGATGTAAGAAAAGCAACAAGCAGGTATTTCTCAATTACTGCATGCATGCACAAGTATTTATTATTAAATTGGTCATGACCATGCATATACATGTCTATCTGGTATCAGATTATGTTTTATGTAATGTAGGTCTGAACGAATCCTATCAGCCCAACCATTTTTCAAGGCAGATATTTTGAAAAATGACTACATAGTAATTCCAATCAACAGGAGGTATGAAACAACCTGATGATTACTTAATTTAAATGTAATCCACAATAGAAAATTGTTCTATCCTAAATGAACTATATATTCATTTACTTGCAGGCTACACTGGTTACTAGCCATCATAACCCCATGGTATTATGTGCAGTATTATATTTTTTGTCTGTAATTAAGTGTTAATTACTTATAATTAATAATGTTGTATTGCATTACATTTTACAGGCATGTGCTTTTTTTGGACTCTTTATCCTGGGAAATTTCTAGCAAAAGAGCTGAAATGAAGTATTTAATCAGGTGGGTTTGTTGAGGCCAATATAGTTGTGCACATGCAATTAATATTGTATTCATGTGTCTTCTTTTTATATAGTTATTTAGATCATATGTCTAATATATCAGGGAATCCCAATAGATGCACAAGTTTGAAATGCCATGTTCTAAAGGTTTGTGATATATATGTGCTATATATCTTGTATTTCCAAAGTGTATTAGGTTTAACCTCTGTTCAGTGTTCTTTTAGATGCAACCATTTTTTGTCTATTATATATAGGTTCCAAGGCAGGATCCTCATACTAACAACTGTGGGATTTACATAGCAATGTTTCTCAGTAGCTTTGAAAAGGTAAATGGTATTCAATATGTCAATTGAATAGTTTTCTATTACTCTACAAAAAGTGCTTTCTCTAATTACAGGACATTGAAAAATATGAGGAAAATCCTGATGAGTATGTCAAATTGACTCATTGTTGGTTCACAGAAGATGAAGCTGAAGAAAATAGAACCAGGATTAGAAACCAACTTACAGGACTGAGTTTATTGGCAAAACATAGAAAATAATTTACAGCTCAAGTCTACAGTATTCTTCCTCCTTGTTTATACAACTGGGCTGCAAATTTACTAATGCAGCACAAACAGCAATTATTGAGTTTACATGAGGCTTCATTGTTAAAGGGAAAGCACCTTTCAGAATAGTAAAACATTTTAGTTTTCTGATCATTCTTTCAATATGTACTCTTATTGTGGCCACACGTCGAGTTTGAGTTGATGTTACAGCAGACACATTTCCTTTCCTTAAAAGAGGTGGGGCCAAAAGCTTTGCTTCTTTGAGTGCTAGCAGGTCTTGAATATTAAAACCTTTGTCGGCCATCACCACATCACCTGCTTCAAGATGATCCAAAAAACCACTTTCTTTTACGATTTCTTTATCACTAATACTGCCAGTGAAGAGTCTTGAAACAAAATTAAGATGAGGTAAAGGAGACATTGAGATCAACAACTTGAAGGTATTGGTGGATAGGCCGTAGGATGAGCATCCAAAAGATGCTTAGAAAACGGATTCCGTTGCACCCCTCGTGGAACTACATAATTTTCACATGAATCAATAGATAAAAATTTACTTTATCAGAATCCGTTGTTCCCCAAGCGAAACAGGTGCACAATTGGGAGAACAATCCCTCCAAAGTTTTATATATTCGCGCTTCGAAATATTCGAACCGCCATTGTTTTAGTAGCAAATACGCATGCGCTTGTCAGCCAAACTCGCACTGCGCACGCGCATAAGCACGCACATGCTTCGAAGTGGAAACACGCTTAGTTATGCAAAACAATCATGGCTGAAAATATTTATAAAACTCGAATATCCTCATGTTTTATTCATTTTGTTGGCGTTACGGAGCAACTTTGCAAAGTTACACGCCAAGGGCTTAAGAAATGTCTTGAGTGTAGGTCTAAATGGGCCAAACTTAAATGTCAACAAGCTGAAATAGCTAAGAAATCGTACGAGAACATCGATGACGGATCTGTCAATTCATACATGGAGAACAGGAGAAGAACCCTGACAGCATTAACTTAGAATGGTACCATCGTATGAAATGCTGGAAGAGATTTTCTGATGAAGAGAATATCCGTAGACAACAGCGAAAAGAAAAAAGGAGAAGGAACTAGCTCTAAAACTGTAACTTCTACCGAAGAACTACATGTGGAAGTGGAACCAATAGAACCAAGACGAAAAAATTACACGCCAATCAGTCGCAGGCGTTAATAAGACCTTGCCTAAAAGAAAACGAGTCCAGAGATATGTATTGTTTGTGGAGAGAGACGCCTCTTGGTTCTCACTAGACAAGGTATGGTCATTTTGATAGATATAATATACTGTGCAATAGTGCAATGTGTACTAGTAGCACAGCATTCTCGAGTTTGGTTTTTAAAAATATCTTGAATTGTGGTCAATTAAGTTTATTTAGGGTAAAGTAGTTTTTAATGCTACAAACATCCAACTGTGTTATTAGCAGATATTTAGTTTAATAGTTTTGTTCACACCAGGTAACTAAGAAGAGAAAAAGAACCCCACTCATGTTGGCAGAAATAATTGATGCTGGTCTTCTACGTACAGCTGCCGTGAGAAAGAATGATGAACGGATACTTGTGCAAATCCGGGGGAAAGACTGTGTAGCACTGGAAGTCCCCTATCACAAAGTTTGCTACTGCAATTATACAAAATTTCTCACCAGAAGACAAAGAAGCAATTGGAGACTGAAAGATCTACATCAGTGTACGAGAAGTCTTATGATGTCTTCTGTAAGAAAGTAATCGAGACTGAGGTCATTGTAAATAAGCAAATAAGGTATATGAAAGATTTGCTGGAGAAATTTGTTATCATTGCTAAGGACACCGAGAATGTGGATGCATCTAAATATAGAGCTTTTAAACTCAAGCAACAACTGATGAAAAGTTATCCCCAACTTGTGTTCTAAGTACCGAAAATGAGAAATGTTAGTGAGATTGTATATGTGGAAAATTTGGATTCTTCCGAATTGGTTGAGGAACATATGTCAAACAAGTCAGAAAACAACGATGAAGACTTTGATGAAGAGAGCTATACCGGTACCATTGATGATGATGATCTGAATTCCAACACAGAAACTGAGGAAAATTCTAGAGTCAATGAGTTACAAATTCTATACAATGCTGCATTGATTCTTCGCCAAAAGGTCCAAGATATACCAAAACTGAATCTTCCTTGGCCACTATTGGCATCTGATTTGACAATGGATAATGTACAAAAAGTGGTTCCATGTGAACTTTTTAATGTCTCGGCTTGGACTTGTGGATTCCAACTTTAAGTGAGTACGTGCCAATTGAGGGCAAGAACAATGCCAAACTAACATCAATTGTACAAGACCTTGTGAATTTAGCATCTGGGGGAAGGAATCCTACGCCCAAGAGCATAGCACTTGCCATGGCACTTAGACAACTGACAGGTTCAGCCTCAGTGATTTCTCTATTGAGTGGCTTTGGACATTGCATGTCACACTCATTTGTATTGTGCCATGAAACTGCCCTTGCACAGATGAATATATCCAATGATTCTGCTATTCCTCCAGGCTTTGTTAGTGATGTTCCAACTTCTCTTGCATGGGATAATGATGATTTCTCAGAAGAAACTAGATCTGGCAAAGGGACAACTCACATCACTGGGGGCATTATCATTCAAAGGGAACAAAGTGCAAGTACTGAGTTACAGAAACGGGATAGCATTCCAAGGCTATATTTAAGCGAAATATTTAACTTGTTTCTTGATTGTGTGAGTTGTATGTATATTTATATATTCTCCATCCTGTTTGATACAGGTGGGTTTTTTACCTCACAATTTTTTATTGAATTAAGTTGTTAATAAGTAGAATTATACGTTAAAACGGTATTTTGAAACAATAGCCAATGAATTGAAGTGATTTAGCATATGAGCAAGCAAAATGTACAATGTGTTTTAACAATATTTAATGTGTGTGTATTTATTCGTTAATATTACAAGGTTTGATCTTTATTCCGTGATTTTATTTTGTTATTTTTACACGGGAAATCGGGGAAAACCCACAGGGAAAATCCATTTTTCCTGTCTGCGCGTGCGCAGTGCGAGTTTGGCTGACATGCGCATGCGTGTTTGCTACTAAAACAATGGCGGTTGGAATATTTCGAAGCGCGAATATAGCAAACTTTGGAGGGATTTTTTTCCCAATTGTGCACCTGTTTCACTTGGGGAGCGACGGATTCTGATAAAGTAAGTTTTTATCTATTGATTCATGTGAAAATTATGTAGTTCCACGAGGGGTGCAACGGAATTGCATCTTTTGGATGCTCATCCTACGGCCTAGGACTTGTACTGGCTGTAGGTGGTTCTTTGGCAGTGTGGTCTCGAAGGTTTCTCTACATAGAATTCAGTGCAATCAATGATAGCTCTGAGGTTCTTTATACCTCGAAGTGCCGTTGGAAATTCAATCCCTTGCAAATCATTTAACGTTGAGAAGGGCACAAAACATTTTAGTTCCTTACTCATGAAGAGAATCCAGGTTACAAAAATCCGGCTACCAGTCCCATTAGAAATGCCAAATATACCACTTAACATTTCAATACTGACATTCCTTCTCAACCTTATTAATGTGAACAGAAACTGTTCCCTGGTTGTGAGTTTGCACATATCATACTTCTTCTTGATATACATACTATGGCTGGTCGTCAACTTCGTTCTCTTTTTACCCCTCCAATAGTGAATTCGTTTTGCTTTTTGTTTTAAGATTTCATTAAAAATCGTATCAAGGCATTCCTTGCTCATGCCTGCAAAGACAATAAATAGTTGTAATAAATCACGTCACACAGCTTGTTTTAAAACAAAACGAACTACTCACCTGTATAGTGCATCGTTTTCTTTGGATCGTCCACTTTAGCTAGAAAAGATGCTTATGCATCTCAGCACTGTCTACCAACATTTTGTCTTGATATGGGTTCAAATGACAAAGCTCAACGTTGGTCTAAACATAAATGTGAACACTATCACCGAAATTCACGCGCAAAACATTCAGTACTGCTTTTATCAGCTCACCTGCGTACTACAAACAACTGATTGTTCAATCTTGTCGTCTACAAACGTTTCTACGTTAGAAGTTTCGTCGATGCTAGGATGATCTTCGTTGTTGGATTTGTCGCTGCACAGATTGCTGCAAGGGCCAACAGTCGCAGCACTATTTGCACTAAACGACAACAATATCTCAGCGACATTAAGTTCGGTGTCGGTCTTGCAACAATTCGTCGGTGCTTGGGCTAGCATTAGCAGCGAATTTGCAGCAGATTTTACATCACTTCGACGAGGTTTCTTCACGGGCTTCTGTCTGGCAACAGGGATTTTTCGTTTACGGTTCATCATGCGCTGCTGCGTATGTAAACAAACAGTCGATAATAAACACGAAATGTGGGCTAAAATCTCATCATACTTAAGATAATATTGTTGTTACTAACCTTTTCTTTACTTGTTGTTGCAGATATAGGATCAGGGTTTTCTTTTGTGGGCCCATTTTCACCCACAAAGTGAACACTGCAAACGTAACTATCCTTGTTACAATTGAATGAGTCGCCACGTTTACATGCTTCAATCCACCGTTTTCTCCTTTCTGGACATCTCTTCGCTCCAGGAAAGTGGAAAAATGTCACAGGATCACCTTCTACATTTTTTTGCATACGTTCAGGGTAACGAGAGTCGTTTTTGCACGTACCCCAAGCACATCTTTTTGTGGCAACCATAGTTCGATATTTAAATATTGCGCGCGCTATCATTGTCCGAACATCACGCTTTGTTTACATATAAATGTCACGTGATACTACACGTGCTTTTCATTGCGTAAAAGGTGTATTGTGTTTATCATATCTGTAATCAAATAGAGCCAGTATAATTAGGTCTGGGTACATGTGTAGTTGGAAATACTGACTGAGTAAGATAACTTTCACTTTGGAAAGTATTTCTTGTATTTTTCAAAGGAAAAAAAATATGGATATACCTTTTTGTGTTTGTACTAAATCAGTTATCACATAATTTTTTTATCAGGTCAGCAGAGCATGAAGACAATGAACTGAATGAAGTGATTGAACGTATATGCAAAAGGTATAAATTTGTTACAATTTATAGGCATATTGCATTATAGCAATAGGCTGATAAATTATTTCTGTGTGATGATGCATCAATTACCCTCAAGAAAACATTTTCCTTGGGGATTTTGCAAGTTCGATAAAATTCTGCCTGTTGCATACAAATAATTCTGATTAGCCAATTCTGTGAAAGGTTGTTGCTGTACTTATTTTTTATTCACACAATTATTAACATAATTATAACTGTTATAAGATGTTTAAATGAAATTATAACTTTTGATGACTTTGATTGATTCCAGTGCAGTTTCCTAGTCAATAGTTTTGCATGCTGTACAATGAAATTATGAAATATTCATTATAGGACAAGCACGTGTCAGTTGAGGTGGTTTGAAGCGATATGATTGGCTAATCAGTGATTCACGTGACACTCGGCTGCGGCTCATTTTTCCCTGACATTTTTCATTACCCGCGAAGATGAGGAGAAAACTGAGTTAAAAACGAACACGTTTTGTTGCCGTAATTCTATAATACGAGGTAATATTTTACTACGAATTTAAAATAGTTTTTGTTTCGTACATGCGAAGTCGAAAACCTTCAATTTTTGACAGCTGGAAATAACGGGGGAAAAACATTTTAACGTCGTTCTGAAGAAAAAAAATGGTCACAAAATTTATATATTTTTAGGAAATTGATATTTTTGTAGTTTGGTTTGTACAAAAAACAAAATCACTTGTCTGTGTTGTTGTCGTTTTTACGTTGTGAATTAATTTTCTCTGATAAAATGGCCATTTAATACTATGAAGTTCTCTTCAGTGAAATATAATCCTAAACTTCTGAAATTTTCTCTTAAAATATCTTAATCTAGATTTCAAGACTGGATGCCAAAGAAAGGATGTATTGACAAGAGTATAAATGACAAAGGTTTACTGGTGATAAAAAGTGTTTGGGAAATGCAAGAAGATCGCGTCATGAAAATGATTTCGTCGTTTGCGTCTGAGGATGATGATGAAACATTTACTTTGTTTGGATCAAATATTGCACCAGCAGAATCTACGGCTTTGTTCAAATTTCTAAGCCACATCAAGAACTTGAAAAAGCTTCAAATGATTGATTGTACTGTGACGAACATTACTATCCGTGAATTGGCTGAGTTTTTGAAGAAAGATAACCATGGCCTGGAGAATGACAACTGTGAACTTATTGTACTACATGTAAGTGACAATAGAGGTTTAACAACTGAAGGTGTTAAATATTTAAGTTATGCTTTGAAGAATGACAACTGTAAACTTACTAAACTAGATGTAAGAAACAATGTTTTAACAACTGAAGATGTTAAATATTTAAGTTATGCTTTGAAGAATGACAACTGTAAACTTACTGAACTAGATGTAAGTGGCAATGATTTAACAACTGAACATGTTAAATATTTAAGTGATGCTTTGAAGAATGACAACTGTAAACTTACTGAACTATATGTAAGGGGCAATGATATAAAAACTGAAGGTGTTAAATATTTAAGTGATGCTTTGAAGAATGACAACTGTAAACTTACTAAACTAGATGTAAGTTACAATCATTTAAGAACTGAAGGTGTTAAATATTTAAGTGATGCTTTGAAGAATGACAACTGTAAACTCACTGAACTATATGTAAGTGACAATGATATAAAAACTGAAGGTGCTAAATATTTAAGTGATGCTTTGAAGAGTGACAACTGTAAACTTACTAAACTAGATGTAAGTGGCAATGATTTAAGAACTGAAGGTGTTAAATATTTAAGTGATGCATTGCAGAATGACAACTGTAAACTTACTGAACTATATGTAAGTTATAATAATTTGAAAACTGAAGGTGTTAAATATTTAAGTCATGCTTTGAAGAATGACAACTGTAAACTTACTAAACTAGATGTAAGAAACAAAGATTTAACAACTGAAGATATTGAATATTTAAGTGATGCTAAGAGTGGCAACTGCAAACTGATTTACTAAATGTAAAGTCGTAATGGCTGCAATCCTGTAAAACGCGTCAAATGTTTTTCCTAAGCTGTATATTGCAGGCAAATCATATTAATATTTTTTTACACAACACATTGGTTATTTTACTCTCATAGATTTTTATACGAGCAAATGTTATTTGAAATGTTTTTTGTGGAATATATTTTGCCTGTGTTGATGAGAAGTTTATGAAAAATTTATGTTGGAATATTTTACCAACAAATTTAATAAATCAGTTTCCATTACCATTATTTGAAAAGTCAATCAGTGTTTGTAGTTTCTAGAAAGGTTTTCATTGCTTTGTAAATAGTTTCTTGATTGTATATGATTGTAATTCTAATAATTTGTATTTTGTAGTTTAAATAATTTGTAAGGTAGATTTCTTTAAATAAATTCGCTGAACAGTTGTATGTTATACATACGACATGCAAGCATTGTTTATTTAAAATAAACTTTTTACAGCTAATTTTAATCCTTTGTGTTGTGATCCATCTCGACCAAAGACCTTCCGATATAAACACAGGATAAATTTCGTCTCAGGAAAGAAACTTTAAGCTGCTGAGCGGATATTCAAGTGTGAGATAACTTTGACTGTTTGAGTCAGTTTGACAGCAAAGAAACACATGATATTGTCTGGGAGATTTATTACAGGATTGCCAGGATCTTGTTATATACTTATTTCAATTTTCAATACCTCAAAGCAATCTTGCGCTTCGTTAACCAGGATCATGTAAACAGCCCCTAGCCTAGCCTAAAATAAACTTTTTACTACTAATATTAATGCTTTGTCTTAGCGATCCACCTCGTCCGAAGATCTTCCTATTATAAAAAGGGGATGAATTTCGTCTGAGGAAAGCAAGCTAGCTTGGGTACCAGGTCTGGATCATCTTCATACAAACCAACCCATGAGACATGCATTGTCGTTGTTACAAAGAAATTTACCACCAGTATCAAAAAATATGTTTTAAACAATTGTCCAGCTCGTGCATGGTTCAACCTACACCCCGACAGATATACAATGGACAAAAAACAGTAAAACTAGAGCAAAAAAAAGGAATATGCTAAAGCGAATGATCTTTGCTTTGTAAAAAGTGTCTGAAAAACATTTGCCTTCTAGGCGCAAAATATTCTTTTTGGAATTGTTATCAAAAATTATTTACAATTAAAACAAACGCCAAGCCTGCAGCACGCGGAACCCAAAAAAAGCCCTGAATTTTAAGAGCTTGCAGTCGCGACTAATTTTTTTGTATTGAAGGGAACGATATAAGAAAGTATTTCCAACAATGATTATTGAAAGATATGAACCCAATTACACTGAATCAGAACACTTGGGTGCAATTTTATGATGTGTGTGCTATAGCGTGAAGCTTTTATCTTTGCTGAGCGCTGCACGACTTTACTTTATACGCGAGTGCAGTGTTTATGATTATTGCGTGGCTGTTGTTCAGCTTTGTAAAGGAAAACTGCCCGAAGCACACATCATTGAGTGCTACGCATTGTACCTAAACCTAGCTGCTTACGTTAAGTTTAAGTTCGACCAAGCTAATGTTTGACAACTTCACGGAAACCGCGCAGAATGGAAACATGATGGAAACACAATACCACGTTACTAAGACGGCCATTCACGAGCTTAAACCGCAGAGACTTTTCAAAGTTCGCCATGTTTAAGAACAAAGTCTCGTTTTTCAAATCAGTTGCCCGTCGACGAAGAAACACATGAAAATACTCCACAAACTCTTCCTGTTTAGCGCAGGAAGCTCGTGTACCATTCTTTCATGAACTGTAGATACCAAATATGCAGACAAAAAGAATGAACATTGAATGAAGTCTGCCCGCAAGAGAGAGAGAACTTAACCTGTGAAGACTTTAGGCAATGGTAATATTCAAGAAATGTGTATATTAGGTGTTTAAAGGACATGAAAATAATAGCACACGAGCAAGCGCCCTGAAAAGGAATGTCCCTGAGTGTGCGGTAGTTGATCACCAGGTTTTGACCGAGGTTGTGTACCCAGAACTTACATGCACATACCACACACAACATTAGTCCTGGGTACCAAATTAACCATTGCCTGAACTCAGGATAACAAGAAAAATGTATACCTAGGGTGATCCCTCTTTCATCCGGCTGCATGGCGTCGCTTTATATCCATAAACGATCCTTTGTGACGGTGCTTGATACAACGAGTACCACCAGGGACCCCTTCGAATGAAAATGTTCATTTCGTTTTCCAGAAATACCGTGTTTGATATCATGCAGTATTATTGTGACAAGTCCTCAAGCGCAACAACCTCTTTCGACCGATGCTGGACATCCGATTACGTCATGGTTGTTTTTTAATCCGTCCCTCTTCGCTTCTGTCGTCTTTAGGGTTCGGTGAATTTATTGTTCGAGGTTTAGCAGCACAAATCTGTGAAACAAAAGGCACGTGTGAGCGTAAATTTGAGCAGCACCCCGAAGCGAAATAGCTTTAAAACTGACAGAAATGTTTTCAAAATTAGGACAACTACAGACTAACAATTACCTTGTGACCTTCAGAAGCATTTGTCGGCATTTTGTTGACGTTAAATGCTCTCTGATAACGCCTTTCAACGCGAAACGTCACCGTGCATGGTTCTAGTTCTTTTCCAAATCTTGTGGAAGTTCAGGTTATTTCACAACTCGTAGCTCCTCGTTCTACAATAGACATCCACTCAGCGCATCTTTGAATGCTCTCTAGGGACGCATTACAATGTAAATCATCGTCAGTGATTATAGATTCTTCTGAAATCTTATGAAGATTTAAGTTTACTGCTGTCGACACATACCATCGCCTCATGACCACTTTATCGAGATTGTCGAATTTTACATCCTGAAATTGAAGATAAAGTAAACTTTAGTTGCACAAATAAATCCTAGGATGTTTTAAAACATTACTACAACAAATTAGGGCAGAAAATACGAAACAAAACGAGAAACTAAGCTATTAAGATAGACCTTGTGCTTACCAAGGTGTGACTTTAAAGTCGGCGTTGAATGAACACGTTCTCGTCGAATTAACGAAGCTGAAATTGAAGATAAATCAAGAATAAGTTACACAAATCAAACAACGAATATTGTAAAGCATTATAACGATGAAATAAGACAATAATTTCAAGAAACGACCGCAAATAAACGGCCGGTATTTTAAGAGAAATAAACACGCTAACTTAACTCATTGTAATATCACATCATTTCGACGAAAACACAGATAAAATATCATTTGATTCTTATACTCACTTCGTCTTCTTGTCTTTTTCTTCAAAGTCATTTTAGAGAAGTTTAAGCAGGGTTTTTTCCTCGTAAAATATGTGACGTTCTCGTCCTTTTGTCGTGAACGGTACATCAAAAAAGTGGAAGAATCGTAGTCACATGCGACATGCGCCTAGGGCATGACCAAAATTAAAATTCGAATTTGCCTCCCAAATCAGCTCCGCGTCCTTGATCCTCATTGGTCGTATTCTTTCGTCCGACGGACGAGCACGGAAAGTAACGGGCGTATAACTGGCCCTTAAATTAGGTGGGGAACTTTATGAGGCTCGCCCAAAAAGCCTAGTGTCCCACTCAACCTGTTTAAGCGGAAAACCTAAGAACAAGCATGGGACGAGGGCTTACTTTCCTTCGATGGGTGAGACACTGTGCCGGCCGAAAGTATTCAGGAACACGAGTGTTAAAAGCAAGCTATCATACATAAAGTTTTGCCTGTTTAACACGCCTTGTGGGGACTCTCTTCAGTATTCAAAAATATCAAAAAATGGTCAAGGGTTGTAGTGGTTTTTCAATTGCTCTAAAATTGGTCGTGTTTTTGACCTCAAAGCTCTCGGTATAGTGGTGAATGCAAAGTTCTTGCAAGTGGTAAGTGATGTTTGCGAGTGATTACGAGTCGAATACAAGTCTGGAATGTGACCTCACGAGCTCTTTATTCAAGGGGAAGTACATTGAAACACAATGTCGTCTTCAATATGCCCAAGAATTCCTCCCTTCGTTATCTCTCAATGTCCAGATTGTGATATGTTTTAGACTTGTGGATTCGAACAGAACAATATGTTTTCATTATGATCACAGAGAAGAATTGGGCAAACACTAATCTAAACGAGCTTGTAGACATATTTCCGTTTACGGTTGAAGTGAAAACTGGCTGGTTAAGCCCTTGAAAACTATTTCAGTTCAATGGGGTAGTAATTTGGTTATCTCGTTGGTAAATAGTGTTCTGGGAATTGAACCCAGAGACTGAATCATACAGTTGATTCAAGGTTCTCATGCAAAACCATTTTAGTTAAAAGAAAGTTTACCAAGTGCCTTCAGTCTTTCTTCTCATGAACACTGGGCGACACTGCGCAGTTTAGTGAAATTATAATTCATTCTGTAACCATTGTTTCAAACAGTACAATATTTAGTCCAAACCACACGCACTATTTTTTTGCCAAATGAAAAATAATCGAAAGGAAAAACCAAGATGAATCGCGGCGCAGTGGATGAGCTCTGGGAACTAGTCTGTCAAACTCAAACTATGACCTCTGCACTCCACACATCTGTGGCTCCACAGCACCTGTTGCATGCTGGTCATGGTTCACGAGGAGATCGTGCGGTGCCACCCGGGCTCAACCCACAGCTCACAGTGCCCTAACCTCGTACGTTTACGACACACGACTAACAGCAAACGGCAAATTTCAAATCGCTTTTGGGGGCAAACTTCACAAGTTTTTGCCCGCCAAGTAGCTAATTCATGCTTCAGTTTTCATCGACAAATTGACCAAACTTCGAACAGCTAACAGTTGGCCTCAAAATATGATTTGAAATTTGCAGTTTGCTGTTAGCCGTGTGCCGTGAACGTCATTCTTAACGTCTGTTCACACGATCCAATTTTGATAGATCCAATTCACTTCTGACGTATGAATTATAGTTTGTTATTGATAAAGCAGCACTGCATTGGCTTCAGTGGATTTGCTGCTGATATACATTACAAGACAACAGACTATAAAACATCCATCAGAAGTGAATTATATCTTAGAAAATTGGATCGTGTATTGGATCGTGTGAACAGACCTTTAAGGTTCATAATCACATGACAATCTCGTGATCTACGAGATTGAGAACTGGAAGAACTGGAGGGTGAAATTAAAAAGGGTGTTGGTGCAAAATAACAGCAGGGTGGTCGTCATGTGATCAAATCTAATCTTCTGGCAAAATTAGTAAATTACCGACATGGATGCTTGCTTAAAACTGATTCCTCGTAATTGTTACAATACCTACAGTTCAGTAGTTCTTGCTTTGTTTGTAGCAACTGGTGTTGCTCTAATTGGAATCGCGAGTGATTACGAGTCGAAATCAAGTTTGGAATGTGACCTCACGAGCTCTTTATTCAAGGGGAAGTACATTGAAACACAATGTCGTCTTCAATATGCCCAAGAATTCCTCCCTTCGTTATCTCTCAATGTCCAGATTGTGATACGTTTTGGACTTGTCGTTGTGTTGACCGTTGTCTACGGTTACCTGGTGAAACATAGAGTCGACATCTTCGCAAATAATCCAAACACAACGACGAACGAGGGCGTAGAAGAAAGCCAGCCACTACAGTCTGAAGAATCGCCAGCCACACGGGAAGTCTATCGAGGTAGTAATCGTCGTTATTTTGTATTTATGGCTTACATAATCCATTTGATCGTTTGTCGTATAATACCACTGACAATATTCTCAGCAGTTCTCTTAACCTCGTCCAATTTTCCGACCCATTTTCAATGTCCTTTGCCCAATATGAAAACAACAACTAGTACTTCCCATGAGAACGTCACACGACCAAATACGAATTCTTCATTTGTGGACTGCACTTATTCAATGGCTGGCAAGAAACAACAAGTTGTTGTCGGCTTTATCACGATAAATTTTCTCGTCGATGCAGTGACACTCGTTGAGATTGTTTATCTGTTGTGGTCGGCATTGAAGAGACCAACTTTCCATACTGATCATGAGTTCATTAGCTTGTACCTTTTACGAAAACGAACCAAAACAATCCTAGAAATAAACGAAATAATTCCATCAATCCAATCTAAAAATTTATTTGACCTGACTGCGATCTTTGGAGGGAAACGTTTGTCAGATCGAGAACTGGAGGAGATCTATATCAATGTTATGATTCACGATGGAAGAGAAACAACCTATAATTCCAGGAGAAGATATGAAGATAGACATGAGATTTATGAAGCTCGTTTAGAAAAACTCCCTAATGCAAAAGTGTTTAAGAGTACAGCAGAATTATTTCAAGCAGCAGAAGCTGGTAAGAAACAACCTAGAACTGTTCTTGTAATGGGCAGACCTGGAATTGGAAAAACTTTACTGACAAGAAAAATTTTTCAGGAGTATAAAAAACGCGTAGAAAAATTCTGGCATGGAAGAATTGTACTATTGATCCAATTACGTGATTTTAACACCGGAGAAACAAGTCTTAAAATAATGTTAAGTCAAGTTCATGGTTCTGTTATGCCAGCTGATTGCAACATGACCATCTACGAATATATTTGCAGAAACCCAAGTAATGTGATTCTTGTTTTTGATGGCTTAGATGAACTTAAAGTTGACAAAAAGTTTTTAACTGATGAAAAGATCATAAACAGCCCAGACAAAATGTGTCATATGTTTCTTATCCTTAAACAGCTGGTGGAAGGCAAACTATTGCCTGGAGCTACTGTGTTAATCACATCTCGACCTACAGCAGAAGATATTTATCAGTCTCTAAAGTTTCATCGGAAAGTGGAGATACTGGGTTTTAATGAAGAACAAATAGAAAAGTATGTTAAGATGTTTTGCGATGATGACACAAGAAGTTCAGAGATGTGGCAAGTAATCAAGAGTTCACCAGAACTTTTAAGCTTCTGTTACATACCAGTCAACTCCTATATAGTGTGCTTGACATTATACGAGAGCATTGATTTTGGTCAACATGAGAAGAATAAAAGCTACTGCAGGATTCCTAAAACAATGACTGAACTGTACAAAAGAGCTATAAGGATTTTGCTGTTCAATCACAATTCAAAATATGATGTGAATAAACCAGTCCCAAAGGATTATCTGACTGCAAAACTTCCAAAGCAGCTTCAAAACAACTTAGACAAACTGAAAGAAATTGCAAAGCAAGGGATGGAAGACAACCAGCTAGTTTTTCAGTTTGATAGCAGTGATGAATTTATGGATAACTTAGCAGATTCTGGTGTATTTAATCAGTTGGAAGATGAAAATCAGTACATCTTTTCTTTCCTTCATCTTACAATTCAAGAGTTTCTGACAGCACTATATGTGGTTGATGATATTAGAAATGTTGAATCATTTTTATCTGATCACATTGATGAACCCAGGTGGCATTTGGTGATCCAGTTTGTAGCTGGGTTACTTGGAGATAGGATGAGGGAGTTAAGGTATGTCTCAATTTTCCTCAAATTAGTTAAAAAAAGTAATACAGTAGCCAGTTATATTGTATAGTCACAACTCAATTTGATAGTTATTTGTATGTGAGGGAATCTTTTTATATTATCTATTCATCATTGTATTGCCCTGATGAAGTCCCTGGTTGATGGAGCAAAAACTGTGCATATAACCAATACACATGGTATTAGTTTTCCCATGCACAGATAGAAATGCTTTTGGTTATGAGAAATGGAAATTTTGGTGTTCTTTAATATGGTAATTAATGAAGGCTGGGGTTTTTTAATTGTGTTTATCATATCTGTAATCAAATAGGGTCAGTATAATTAGTTATGGGTGTGTGTAGTTGGAAATACTGCTTATGATTAAGATAGCAACTTTCACTTTCGAATTTGGAAAGTATTTCTTGTATTTTTAAAGCAAAAAAATATGGATATACCTTTTTGTATTTGTACTAAATCAATTCTCACATATAATTTTATCAGGTTAGCAAAGTATAAAGACAATAAAGTGATCAAGCGTATATGCAAAAGGTATAAATTTGTTATAATTTATAGGCATATTGCATTATAGCTGTGATTATAGCAATAAATTATTTCTGTGTAATGCATTAATTTATTATATGGATTTATACCTCAAGAAAACATTTTCCTTGGGGATTTTCCAAGGTTGATAAAACTTCTGCCTGTTGCATACAAAAAATTCTGATTAGCCAATTCTGTGAAAGGTTGTTGCTGTACTTATTTTTTATTCACACAATTATTAACATAATTATAACTGTTTTAAGATGTTTAAATGAAATTATAACTTTTGATGACTTTGATTGATTCCAGTGCAGTTTCCTAGTCAATAGTTTTGCATGCTGTACAATGAAATATTCATTATAGGACAAGCACGTG